GTTTGTATCTATTGTAGTTTCCATGGAAATTCATAGGAGGCATTGTTTTCAAAGCGACCTACATACTATATATATATGTATATATAGTTATATGTACAGTGCATCGGATATTAAGTGGCAGACCCCACATGCCGTAAGCACTAGTTGTGCCAAAGCAGAAACTTTTAGCAGACTGCACGTGAAATCATTTTTTCCTGTCTGCATACCACTGCAGCAGATCTTTAACACTATCAAATTTAATATGCTAATTACAGGGTGTAATTTATTCTTTCCTTCAGCTCAATTTACGTCACAACTGTTCACATAAAATACCAATCTGGATCTTCTAGCACTTTATCTCAAATCTATAATAAATACTTAAAATTAGGTCATGTTCTGTGGAATGGAGGTTTTATACAGACTTTTAATTTAGTATTCTAATGCAACAGTAAAACTCGTTTATTTGTTCAGATAATTTCAAGAGAAGGTCCTCTGTGGTTTACATGAAAAAATTTATTTTACCTCCTTCCATTTGTTATATGCATAAAGGAGATTCAGTTTGCAAATTCTTCTTAAACAGGAAACAATGACATGCCTGACTGAGATACAACGCTTGACCGGCTCTGGGCTCCCGCTAGTTTGGTAACCTTTGTTCATTTGTATCATTAACAGAACAGTTTAAAAAAATCTGATCAGGGTCTACATAATGAAATCAAGGAAATTTTTAGAAATCAAAGTATTTTAAGAATACACATCCAGAAAGGAAAATTAAAAACAGCAACAACAAACACTACAAAACTGCATCTATTTTACTCACTGTATTCAAATGCCAGAACAATCTATGCTAAAAACATAGTGTGTGGTTTTGGTTTTATGCTTTATTAAACAAGCTGTGATTACCTCTTGTCAATATTGAATAATGAACACGCTGTTGTGGGCGCTGTGGTTTCCATCGCGAGGCTGTTGCCCTTGCTGGAGCTACACGCACAGCGATGCAGACAGCTGGGAGCTGCGGGATCCCATGTGGCAGTTCCCCAATGGAGGTTGCAGTCTACCACTACTGTGCTTGGGGATTTTCTTTCCTCGTCAGCTCAGGGCCCAGCACATGGCACCATGGCCCAGGGAGGCAGGTGGGATGCATGGCCCCGGGGAGTGGGGCAGCCTGGAGGGAGCATCCCTGCACTGCTGCTTCAGTGGCAGTGATTCCACAGTACCTTTAAATCAGTTTGTGCCATCTGAGAATGTGTCTGGTCAAAAACTAGTTGGCAGTGGGAATATGTGGCTGAAAGTGGAGCTTTTGAATTAAATTCCCAATTCAGCTCACTATCCATCAGTGCTTGGGACTTGAGAAGAGGGCATAGCAGCATCTTTCTATGGCAGTTCACAAATACATCAGTTTAAAGCAACTGGGAAACTGGGCTCTGAGAAGGAGCGGAGCACACGGTGAGTCCAGACGTGCTGTTGTTGGGGCAGACTGGAATGGGAGCAGCTGAGAGTGTTTTGGTGTTAGGGGCAGAGTAGTACCCACAGGGGCAAAGGCACATCTCTGTGGGTTTGTTGATGGTTCCGAGCTGTTGCTGCTGCCGTCTGGAAATGAGACCTGGCAGCTGAAGCTGCTGCAGCTGGGCTGCACTGATAAATACTGGGGATTCTTAACCTTATGTATTAAACATGAAAACGTGAGTGCAGCTCAGTATTTAAGTTGTGGTGTTTTGAATGCCTTACATGGCAAGCTTCATAAAAGATGCTTGATTTGGCACCAGGAATTGCAGAACTAAAATGTACTGTTAAATCTTTCTGTTATTGAACAAATCAGATCATTTTCGTGTAACTTTTTATGTGAAGATAATAACGCTGCCATGTACCATATTTAGTGGACATAAAAAGTAGCTCTCTCTTTGAATATGGAAAAGATGAAGTGAACTTCTCATAGACTTGCCATTCACATTTTGTGTTCAAGATTGACTTTTACTTTCTCACAACAGTTACACTTTTTGCAATATAGCTCTGAGTCCTGTTTTGCTGACATGGAATGTGCTGGGCTCATCTGAACTTTGTGCTCACTGAGCTGTCCTCTGAACAAGTTTTTAATGAGATTTGACAAAGTGCATGGCTGCGTAGTTCTTCTAATGACACATTGCTTGGGGTCACTTCAGCAATCAGTATTTCTCATCTAAACCTGTGTGTCCAGTGCCACTAATAGAGTAACCAATAAATAAATAAATAAATAAATGGCTATGTAACAGCCTTAAGCATCATTAAATAGAAACAGGAAATGGAGGAAACCTTGGTTTGGTTTATTTTTATTTTGGTGTAGGTTTTTGTTTGTTTGTTTGTTTTATAAGAAATAATTCTACCTGTGCTAATGGCACTGTCTTGAAACCTTTTAGAGATTGTGGTATTTAAACCTTGTTGGTATTTCTTTTTTTTTTTTTTTTTTGGTTTTTTAAAGACAAATTAATATCTAGGATTTATTGTGCAAGAGAGAAATCACCTGCCAGGAGTCAGAATTTTAGAGGCTCGAGAACGTTTCTATGTATCTTTCACAGTAGCAGTATGTACTTAACATAATGAGAGCAGAATATGTATCTGTGAAAACTGGGGTCTGATTTGATAGTTGTGATAATGATTTAGTTTGGCAGGTTTGAGACTATCTGTTGGCATCACGCAGATGAGATGCCTGTGGGAATTAGAAGAGATGCAAGTACTTATAGTATCATATATACAGAACAAGCCACCTACTTATTCTCTTAAACAGCTTCTTTTCCATCTTGTGTTTTTAAGCACATTCACTAAATCATAATGGATTCAGATCAAATTTGAGTGTGGAAACACCTGTTTGCTCTTGTCTCTTCTGGGACATCTCTTTTTTTATCCCCCCACTGCCTTGGGAAGGACTAAGGGAGCCATAACTTCCTTCAGCAGTTTTCTGATGCAGTAAATGAGGATGAAGTGCTTGGAAGTGATACATTCAAAGACTATTTCTAATCATTCTTTTTCCAATTTTATAATTGTCTGTAGTTGTTTCATTTACTTGAAGATCTTAGATTTGAGGGAAGCTTAAATTTGCAGCACTACTACATCTGTCTTCTACAGAGATATTAATTCACTGTCATTTTAATAATATTTTATCTTTTTTCCTTTTATTGTACCTTACTAAATAGATCTCAATTAAATTTCTAGCTTGCATCAGCACTTTTACTGTGCTGAAAAATTACCTTTAATCTGTGATGATCTTTATGGGCATTTTATTTATTCTTAATCTATTCTAAATTTAAAACTTTCTGTTTACATTAATTAAAGTTACCATTGGCATGCTAATTAGTAAACTTTGAGATGAAAAAAAACCTGCTTGCTAGGTGGATTTCCTCAAATACATTTCATGTTTTCCAGTGACTTGAAACAAGACTGTAAAATTCACTCCAGGTGATTAGACTGATAGTAACCAGCCCACACTCTTCAAAATTTTGACCTGTATTCTGGTGCAAGTATACTGGCATTTCATGGACTCCGTGGTCAAGCTGTTTCCTTTCCCACTTGACTTTTATTGAAAGTAAACTGACAGGTTCCCTGAGCTTTCATGCTATAATGAATTATTTGGAGAAACATTTTCTGCTTGTTACCACAGGGATAACCAAGGCTGGACTTGGAAATAAAAGCAGGAGGATCTGATTTATCATCATTAAAAAATGTTGTTGAGAATGCAAAATCAAACTCTTCCTTAGGGGAAACTGAACAGTACTTAGTACAGTTTGCAGGCTGGTAAAGACATCCCCATACATCCACTTAGTCATCATCTTGGCATGAGTAGAAGTGACAGTAAAATAGAGGGGAGGGAACTCATTCAATATTTTAATAAAAGAAAGATTAGCTGCAAATATTAAACAGATGGCATGCAAATATCAAATACAACATGCTTTTTAAATATAAACTTTTCGAAAATAGAGAGCCTTCCTTCAGTGAAACTCTTGTTAACTGTATGATATTTGTTTTGGAAAAAAGATTAAGAGAATTGTTCTTTTCTGTAACTAAGCCAAAGTAATTTTCATTTGCTTCACAATTCAGTCTTCTATGAGATGCTTCCAAACCTCATTGACTGACTGCGATGCTTTAGGCATAGTATGTACATAATGCTGAAATGAATTCTGTCCCTAGTGTTTAAAATAATTTTTAAAAGTCAGCTCTTTGCATCGAGCTAAGAACATAGCAAAGTGTTTCCATGCCTTGTCCTCCAAGCTGGAGGAAGAAACTTCATTTATTTTTCAGAGTTATTATCTGAGAGGGAGAATAGCTGGCAGAAAAGGAACAGGCCTGTGCGCCAGTCAGAACTGATCCAAATTTAGCAAGCAACCTCACCTATCATTTGTTTATATTTTGTTTGACTTTCATATAATCCCATTTGATATGCTTGTTGTCATTCAATGCATTCTCTCTTTTTGTTGTTGGAAACATTTAATCTTTGTACAACTATCAATATTGTCATCCAGCAAGATTGTACATTGTTTGCTGCTCTTTATTCTTTGTGTTGAGGAAGAAGTTTAGTGAGTAAAATTAACATGCAATATTGATGAACATTCATCCTTTAAAATATACACACTGTTGAAATTAATAATGGTCAATCAGTTCATATGGTGAAAGCTGATTTTGTTGAAGTTCTCATTAAATTTTTTCTTATACTACATTCTGTTGTGGCAGGAAGAGATCTTGGTTCAATTCAGTTGGGAACTTTCAATGTGAATCTGAGTTAATTATTTAAAGTATTAGAGCTGAAATCTTTGTACTTATCACCTGGATCTAAGTGGGGAATTGGCTGGGTAAAAGAAACAAAAAAGACCACCATGCTTGCTAGCACTATGGACATGTTTCAAACAAAGGAGCCTGCTGCTTAATCTGACACCAGACATCCATAAGTTTTGTTCCCTTTCAGCCAAGTACCAGTTAGAGTGTTTTGCCTCATTGTTCTGTTCATATAGCTTACAACACCCTATTTCACTTGATTGCATTTTCCTTTTTCCCCTCAGAACTATGGTTTGGAGACTGAGAACCTGAGAACTCTCTCTCACAAGCTGAATGCCTCGGCCAAAAATCTTCAGAATTTTATAACGGGTAGAAGGAGGAGTGGCCATTATGATGGCAGGGCCTCCAGACGACTGCCAAATGATTTTCTTACCTCTGTAGTTGACCTGATTGGTGCTGCCAAGAACTTACTAGCCTGGCTGGACAGGTAATTTACTTTTTCTTGATCTTCTACTGATGAGAATATAAAAATAAATGACACTACTTAATTTGGAAAGGAATCATAGAATCATCATAGAATCACAGAATAGCTTGGATCATCTAGTTCCAATCCTCCTGCCACAGGCAGGATTGCCAATCTCCAAATTGATCTGCTAACTAACCTACTACATCAGGTTGCCCATACAAACTGGCCTTGAACACCTCCAGGGATGGGACATCCATAACTTCTCTGGGCAGGCTGTTCCAGCACCTCACTACTCAGTGAAAAATTTCACCCTGACATCTAATCTAAAACTCCCCTGTTTTAGTTTAAAACTATTTCACCTGGTTCTAACACTGTCTCAAATAAAAAAATTTAGATAAATGTAGTTAAAATTTTAACTGTAGCAAGACGGAACCCAAAACATACAATTGCAGCATGGAATTTCAATTGTTTCCATTTTTCTGGAGTTATAGCTATGGAGAGACTTATCTGGAATCTGAATGCTCTTGAATATAGAAATGGCACCTTAGAAGTCATAGCGAGAGTGAATCACCCTCCTTTATGAGATTTGTATAATCCTGGTGACATCTTCCTAACCTAATGCCAGCATTCATATTCTCTTGGGCTATGACCTTGTCAGTTCTTATAAATTCAGATGGGGTCAGATTTGGTTAGAATGTGGAAAGCCTGCAGAAAATCCCAGTTCACAGGAAGCTGTTACTGACTAAGGAAACATTGTTTTCCTCTCTCAATTAAGGTGCTAACTTCTGCAGAATAGTGTTGTCATACTAGTAATGCTTTTTTAATGAACCATACAAATGAAATTTTGACTGCTTACAATTATTTAGAAGCTCATGTTTCACTGACATTAAGAATGATAACTTCGAGTGTTCTGGCCAAGATCCACTTCCTTCCAGCCAACATTGTTTCTTGTTTCATAGTCATGTTTGACAAAAGTTATGTGGCTTACTGCTGGAGATCGTCGTGATTAGGTGATTCATAATTTTGTGGTGTACAACCGATCTCTGAATTGTATACATCTTCTAAATGCCATTGAAGACTCCAAAAAAACAGTAAAACTGTCTTATTGAAAAGTATATTCATTATTTTAGGACTCTTTTTTTCTTGATTAAACCAAAGAATAAGTAGCTGACCTGATTATACTTGCCTTCATGAAAATGAATTTACTAATCATAAGTACTGTGAGATATCCTTAATATCACACAAGTCTATTCTTCCTTTCTCACAGGTCTCCATTTGTCAGTGTGACAGAATACTCACTACTGAAAAACAACATTGTTCAACTGTGCCTGGAACTAACAACCATTGTACAACAGGTAGGAGTGATTATCTTCCAGTATTTCCAAGTACTTATAGTTGCTCAAAAATCAAAGTAGTAAAAACATTGCTAAGCTTTTACTTGATCAGAAAAAAAAAAAAAAAAATTGTTTTTGCATATTACCTTTTGTTCCTTCCATATTTTCTTTTGGTGGGAGTGATGGGAAGATTTTAGATTTTGGCTATAATCATGTGTCTGGATAGATCAAAAAATAGTATGTAGTTAAAAATAATTCACTTTTCTTTTGAGTGGACAATTTCATGTTAAGTTATTCGCTGCCATAGAAGAACAATGCCACAGTCAGAAACAGGTTAAATGCTAAAAAAAATTGTTAGAGATTCAAGTATGTTTAATCAAAAATATTTCAGGGACAAGTTCTTCCTTATATCAAGGTGCAACTGTACTACGTCTTCTTCACTCAAAAAAGCACCTGTTACATAACAGTTGTTTGTAATTAACACTGAACTAGTGAAATATGAAGCAAATAAGGGTAGTAGTATTTTCATTACTAATCTGTAATACAGTACAATCCACAGGGACATCAAATACTTTCATCTGGTTCTGTAGCTCTATATATTATACAAACAATAGTAGTCACTATTGTTATCTTCACTGTCTGCCCCTGAAACAGAGTCACACACAAGTACAGAAACACTGTGTAAGTTAGTAGAACTCACTTAAGAGGCTTTCTGAAGTAGCAATGTTCTGTAATGTCTTTTTCCTTAATATTATTATTTGCATAAAAAAAGCAAAAAATCAAGTATCTATCAGATTTTGCATTTGCATAGTGTAGCCAAGGCTGACACAAATTGTGTCTTTTACGCTATTATCCTTGATTTCTAATACTCAACCTTTTTTCCTTTTGAAAATTTTTTACCTTTGTACACTATTGCAGTAGAAAACAAACAATCCTTTTTCTCTTTCTTTGTTTATAAATTGCTATGTAGACATCTAATTATTAATGTGTCTTTACTAAGCTTACTTTTAGTGTTTATAACACTAGGCTATTTTTGATTTACAAACTAAGCAAAATGAACTTCTCTGCTGTACAAAATTTTGGATTCTGATTCCCCTTGTGAGAGGTAGATTGTGTTTTTGCAGTGGAAATTTCCAGTATTTCTGTATGTAGCATAGGATAAGTTGCTTTTCACAAAGAAAGTTGCTGAACAGAGTAAAGTTGAGACTGGGGCGTTCCAACCTAGGTAAAATTGGCACAGGCATTTGGTATATAATTATATAGGGTAGGGGAGAGTCTGGTGCAGGACAGAATTAGTGTGCAGATAGTTGAAAATATTGTCCTCCTATCGCTGTAAAGAGTACAGAACATACCCAAAGACAACGGTTTGGTAACAGACATTGCATGGAAGTGTTACATAGCTATGGAAGTGTTACATAGCTATGGAAGTGTAACATAGCTATGGAAGTGTAACATAGCTATGGATGTGTAACGTAGCAACAGTGTCAGAAGACTGTGAGTCTGAGATGCTCAACCAATGAGTGCCAGGAGAGGCTTTACCTGTGTTGGACCCAGGGTATATACTGAAGTGGATTTCACTGACTAGCTGTGCAATTTCTCCCTTGTCAATAGGGGGTGTGTGCCCATTATTGCAATAATGAATAAAATGCCCTTCACGGAAATCTTTGCCTGATTAGAAATTTTTTATCTATGTTTCTCACACCCTCTTCAGCTGATATGGTACTTTTTTTGTGTGAGTTTAATTTTTCCCACTGGTCTAGGTGAAAGGAAGAGAATTTTGAATTGCAGTCTCCATTTCTTCTATTCTTTTGACTGCTTTTGGCAAATGAAATTCACTTCTCTGCCAGTAATAAGTTGGGGTTTTGTTTTATTGCTTCATTTATTCAATACCACTTCATTCCAAAAGCTGTCTTCATCCTGACAACTTAAAAACAATATATCTTAGAGAACAGTCTCCAGGACAATCCACAATGAAAAATGTTTAGTTCATTTTTAAGGTTAGTTACAAATCAAGACCAGTCTTGTCTTTTTATTACCTTATTTTTAGATCTGGTTTGCTTAATAGCTATCTGATATTTTTACAGTATGTAAAACCTAGTACCAGAAAGTGTAGATAAAACAATATCCTTCAGAGGGAGGCAGCTTTATTGTTACTAAATCTGAGAGAAATTGATCTTAATGTGTGAAAGCAAAGATGTCTCACCTAACAAAAAATGTAGTCTTCACTACACTGAAATATGAAGTGAGTGGCATAAATAATAATAGAAACCATTCTAGCAGACTATTTTTTTATACTGAATGAGATAAATTTTAGATATCTAATACTTAATTGTACTTAGTTTTCTTATCCCTGACAAATCTCGATTTTATTAAAATAAACAGAGAAATTGTAAATGAATAACATTACACAGAAAGCTGCAAAATCTGTGAGGCGTCTTTATTTTGGGGCCCAATTGCCCTGCAAAGATTTTACAGTATCTGCAAATTTCAGTAGTATATGTGATCTGTTTCAGAATTGCAAACTAAAATTATGAATGTAGCATGATTATGTGCAAGTCCTACCATCTTTTTCCTTTATCAATATTCAAAAACAAGCTCTTTTATCTTAGCAGAGTTGTGAAGGTGTCATGCCTTTCAAAGTCAGAATGTTGTGGAAGTGCAGAAACTGGCTTGTATGTAATATTTCATAATTCCTGTACTTTACTGTTTTGCAGAGGAGAAATGGAATGCTGCTACTTGATTTTATTTTTTTTAACTCTAAGAAAAGTAATACATTTTTAGCATCTTCATGCCTATGGAGGATGGAGAAAGAATACAACTATTATTTATCTTCTAGATCAAAATTCTATAAATGTTAGTCCTGGAAGTTTGTTTTTTTTTTTTTTTTTAATGAGATCCCTTGTGCATTTCTATGTATCAGGAAAAAAAAAAACAACACAACAAACAAACAAACAAACAAAAAACATCAGAAGAATGTTGTGACCTACATATCTTAGAATTTTAGTATAATTTTGCAAGTGCTTTTAACCTCTCAGTTAAACTGGTCTGATGTATTAACAAAAAGTCATTATGCATACGTTTTGGAAGGAATCCCAAAACCATTAACAATTTTAATGGTAATGTAATCTTGGATGTGCAACCTAAGTATAGCTAACATTAATTCTGCTCTACAAAACAGTAAAATTTCAGTTTCACTCTACACAAGTCTTCAATTATTTGACCTGAAGTAATTAAGCTTGTTTGGAATTGAGCTCATATTATTTTTCTAGCACAGAAATTAAAGGAATAATTTAGATAGAACAATTAGCTCTGAAATCAAGCTATAAGCTCTCCTGTGATCATGTGTTTCTCTTGGTACTTGCAGGGTTAAAGGGAGATGGTGGATATGCTGTTTGAAGTGTGTAAAACATGTAAGAAAAACTGCCTTGGGCATTGCCAACCAAACTGACTAATTGCATTCTTATTTTTGTGCTGAAGAAAATAACAGCATGAATACAGAAGAAACATCAAAGGGGTACTTGACCATGAAATGCTAATATAAATTCCTCTGTGTTCCTTGTCATTTGCAATCTGGTTTTAACTTTCTTATTTTGAAAACCGTCTTCACATAAAAACTAATTCCTCCACAGAAGTGCCAGTCCTCCAAAATAAATGCTTAATGTTGTGGGTGAAACAGCCACTAGTGCTCCAAGTGTGTGCACAAGGCTGTGTGGCTCACACAGGTAAAGCTGCCCTGCAGCAACTGCAGATGGGCTCCTCACTGCAGTGCCCAAAAATGGAGGCCAAGAGCTGGACATGGCCTCTGTGGATGGGACATGGCCAAGGGCTTTTGCTGCTGGACAAGAGGAGCAGGGAGCTATCAGTCAGCTGCAGAGGCTCCTGCAGAGAGTACCACAGCCTAAGCTGATCATGCAGCTAATCTACTTGGAGAGCAAATGGGGTGAGGATGTTGGAATTAGTTCATGGGAAGTTTAAAGCAATTAACTGTTACTGCTATCACGTTGATCCTGAAAAGAAGAAATGATGATAACTTTAAGTGAACTTAAGTTAGAGGATCTTTTATGTATATCAGAAAGTAAAATTTACTTAAAAATTTATGTAAGGAAAAAAAAATGTCCTTTTTTTACTTCAAATTTATCCTGAAAGTATATCCTGAAGTCCTTATCTTGCTCTGTAAAAAGCTGCTTCCAAGATAACGATGCATTTAGCAGTTTTCCAACTTTATTTTTACTGCTATTAAACATTAATTGACTTAAATAATGACTATCAGCATGGCTGACATGCTGGGACACCTCAGAAACATTTTCTCCTCAGATTTTGTTAACTAAAAGCACCCCTTTGACACAATGGGTTGTTGTCACAGGCCAGTGCCCACCGCAAAGCCTTTGGTGACGGAGGGTGCTGGAGCTCTGGGGGCAGGGCTGCAGGTGGCCTCAGAGGTGACCGCTTTGTGGGGGGAATTCCAGGCATTTCTATTTTAATCTCACTTTGCCTGGCACACTTGCATTTTTGTTATGTTCCTTTTAATTTAATCTTTGTAAAACATCATGAGAGCTAGCAAGCCAGTTTTGAGTGCTTACTGGCAGGAGAAGCTGCATTTTCTCTCAGTGCACTTGGAATCTCTTCTGTGGGAAGGGGTTCAGTACTCTCATGCCATGGCTGTGCTCTGCAATAGAGGACTGTTCCAAACTTTAAAAAGCAGTAGAGGGAGTGGACACCTTTTAGGAAATGTTATGCTTTGATTCATGAAATATGAGTGATATTCTGGCTGCCTGTAATGTTGTTAAATAAAAATATGAGTTAAGTGAGTAATGTTTTAAGTTACGGATAGATAAGAGTTACTGTCCTTAAAATGACAATTAGAATAGGAAAATGGCTGCTCTGGAAGTTACAAGCCTTAAGCAAATAAAGAGGTCAATTGGGATTATATTTTGAGGTCTAACTTTGGGACTAGGTCTAACTAGGTCACTAAAGCAGTGAAACCCTTTGGATATCTCTGAACCAGTGTGCAACACGAGCAAACCTGAGTCTTCTGCCATCCCCTTCTGGTGTGACTTGTGCCCCCCAATACCCCATATTAGAGCTGTTATGGAAATACTTCCAAGAGATGGGACATCTTGTCCCATGTGGACAGTAAAAACAATTATGGCCTTGAAGCAAGAATGAACCAAGCACATAATCTTTAACTTTAATGTTGTACTTCTCAAAATAATTTCTGCTTACTCCTTCTTCCGACACTTTATAGTAGCACAACCCACCTATTGGTAGGTCTGACACAATGGTTTGCACCTCACACAACTTGTACAACAACATTCATTCTGCCTTGCACAGTTAGGCAATACCTATCATGCTCTGAGTTTCAGTGGATTTCCAACACACCAGATCAATTATATTCACTTTTTTTTTTCTTCTCGTTTTCATGACTGTCCCCACTGCTTTACATGTATTTTACTGCTAGTACTGAGCAGAAAAATGTCTTTACTATAATGGAAGAATAGATCATCCCTGAGGTTAATGAGCCATAAGAAAAGTCAGGTTACTTTTATGAAGTGACATTCTGGACATGACAGAACTGAAGAGTTTGTGTTTATGGTACATCTGTAAGAGATAGTTGACAGCATTAAGCATTCTTTTCTTTCTTAATAGGAAATTTAAAACAACATGCATTAATTATGTTTGTTTTATTTTCCCACAGGATTGTACAGTGTATGAAACAGAAAACAAAATTCTTCACGTGGTAAGTATTCTACTATAGTATTCTCCAGTCCTACATCATGCCCTTCAATCATTTTTTAAAAAATATCAAATTCCACTATGGGCAAATAAAGGTACTATTTGACAAAACTCATGATGAATCATATCAGTTGCTGGAAGTTAAAGTTTTCATAACTAAAATGAAATTGTTAAATATACATATACATATGTGTATATATAGTTAAAAAATCTTTTTAACACAAGAAAGAGAAGAAATCAGCTTATGGAGACTGTGGCCCCTGAAACCAGCTCAGTACTAGTGGCCAGACACTTTAATTATTGTCCCAGTGGTCCCCATTTCAAACTCCAAAATGTTATACTTTCTTTTATAATCAACCTAAAGAAATATAGATAGACTCTACTCAAAAATGTTAATCAAATATTTTTTCACCTAAGATAATGTCTTCAAATTCTCTGAAGATTGGAGGCTCCCAGAAGGTGATGTGATAAACTTCAAAACCAGACCTATCAAGTCTTTTTACACCTTGCTAAATTGGACAGCTTTCAAATTTAAGCCTTAAGAATCAATTTTTTTTCTGGTACCCGTGCCTGTTTATTTATGCAGGCAAGACCGGATGCTTCATCCCACTCTCCCCAGCTACAGTTAATTATGAATACTTATTTATTTTTCTCAGGTTGTTTTAGAAGCTTTACAATACTATGAGATAGTACACTCTTCGTAGTGTAATACTCTTGCTAGGATTGCTTGCACGGAATGCTGTCAGTCCATTGCCTATTTGCATTTTTAACTTCTCTGGTTGTCACTGACCCAGAACACTGTAAAAGCCTCCAGCACTCAACAAATATAATAACTGAAGGGAAATGGAAGAATATCATGCAAAGCTATTGATTGAATATTGGCCTTTAAGTACTAATACTTTATATTTTCATGGTACGTGCACAAAAAGCTTGTACTCACAGTGAGATAGAGTTAAAATGTATGGTTTGGGGGAAATCTCGAAGGATTTACAAGTTTAGATAAGCTTTTGACAAGCTCTTACCAAGTGCCTGACATTTTTTTTTAAAGCCTTTTACACATACTCTGCTTCCAGCAGGGATTAAAATATATCATAAAACATTGATGTGCTGTTAAATTCAGAAAGCATGCAGTGACTTTTAGGAAGAAAAGCTCTCTATTGCGAACCTGATTCTGAAAAGAACTAAAAGCACCTGAAATCTTCTGGGATTTGGAGTATGTATATATACATATATACAAACATCTTTTAACTCATGACTTGTGATTCTAACTGTGTACATCTTCTGGAACTCCACCTTTATCAGGAATGTTACTTTTGACCTTGCTACCTCTTCTCAATAGAAGCTTGAAAACGTAGAAGAGAGGAAAGTTTCAGTTTTATACTTTCCATTTTTGAACTAATATCCAGGACTTTAGAACTTTCTATTTTTTATGACAAAAATATGTTAGCAAATGTTAATGCATTTTCTCATATTAATAGTCCTAGATCAAATGATATTTCCAGTCCCTGTGCTGTTATTCATAAATTCTCCTCAGTTGTTCCCATCAATACTGTCTGAGCCTTTGCATTATGTATAACTAATGTCAGGTGTCTCTTGTACGTGCTGAACTACATCAAAAGTAAAGTAATGTTTAAAATTATTCCAGTATATTATTTTTGAGTATTTTCCTAGCATAGATTTTAAGTAACTTTGTGAACTGTGGTGAGATCTTAAGATTCATGAGATTAAATTTGAGAAAACTTGTTTACTGTTTATTTAATTCTAAAGCTTCTTTACTGAGAAAGTATTTACATGTGACAACTGTTAAATTAAACCATATGCAAGTAGACTGTGGATTTAATCTGCATTTAATCTGTGTGTATGTTCTTAAGAAGATGTGAAAGCATGAGAATGATTTATTTGGAAATAAAAATATTATTTTGATATGACAGTAGTTCAGAAACAGGCTGAAAGCATTTGCACGCAACCAGGGTCAGCCAGCAGGTCATATGTAGAACAGCAGTAAAATACATTATTTGAGCCAGCCAGTTTCCCTATCTGCAGTGAGAGAAGACAAGACCTGAAGTTTTGTTTATGGGTTCTGGCCCAGAGCTTAAACTGCTGGAAATATTCCTGTTACTTTGCTGACCTTTTGATGCAGTCATGCATACCTGAATGCGATGCTTTGCTTCTTGCATCTGGTCCAAAATACAAATGCCACATCCAGTACTCCAGAGCTGTACTTACATTTCCAGATGAGTAACCATACAGTGAATGGGAATGTGATCTATAAATTCAGTCAGTTAATTTTATTCCTCATGACAACTTTATTTGTTTAACTTCTATGCATAGTGTCAAATGATATATTAGAAATCCTCATGCTTTTGCAAATGACTGAAACAAAACTTCCCGTAAGGGATTTCACTACCATTTTCTATAATTAGGGAAAATGAGAGTGTAGTCCCCGAAGGAAAATAGATGCATACAGTAAGTTTGACTGGAAGACCACTCTGGAATTCATCTAAATGTATGCCTTCAGACTAGATTCAAATATTTTGGGGCATATTCTTTTTGAAGGAATACTTTAAACTTGGTCTTTACACATTAAGACTCTCTGAGTCCAGATCAACTCCTTTCTAATCCTTAAAGTTTGGCTTCCATTAATAGATTTAATTTGTCACTATCACCTCCTTCAAAATGTGGTTCCTATTTTGAAGGTGTCTGTGGATTCACACAATTCACAAGTGGATTTTGCATGCTTCATAAAATAAAATTTCCATTTTATTTATTATGGTACCTTATAATAACAGATCAGATTAAGTTCATCAAGCATTTTCATACATTTGGGTATTTTTGATGCATGGATGTTCTCAGTACACAGTTTAACCTTTTGTTCAAAAGTACTGTACAGGCATGTATATTTTACTGACACAGATATTTTTTGTTACCTTAAGCTCTTGTTCTTAACTTCCCTATACAACACAACTTCAGTTCTTGACAACCTTTTACAAGAGAAATAATGATCTGTTTATTCTCAGATTGTTCTCAGACTTAAGAACTTTGCCAGTAGTTTCAGATAAATACAAGAAATTATATTTTTCTTTGTCTTATTTTTCTTTGTAGTGTAAAACCTTGTCTGGAATTTGTGACCACATCATTTCACTCTCATCTGATTCTCTGGTGTCACAGTCAGCACATCTAGAGGTAGTTCATCTCACCAGCATTATGCCCAGTGAAGGTTTGGTAAGTACCAAAGCAATTTAAATATTAGTGTACAAGCCTTGGATCTTTATTTTATAAAAATAAAGTTCAAGAAAACAAAATGTGTTTTCATTCATATCCTGCTATTATATTTATTTAATTTCTTTTGGTAAGCTGAATATGATTTCTGAAAGTAATTTAATTAATATTTATGCAAATAAAAGGATTGTAGTCAGTTTTATTGTCAGTTTTATCTATGGCTTGATGTGCAACTAGTAAACATATGAGCAGATTAAAAATAGTTAATAGTCTTTTGATAAGCATATTACAGCTTTTGAAATGTACCAAAATAGTTAATTTTGTTTGTATATGTACATATTTGAGCATTCATTGTCATTAGTTAATGTGCTTTGAAAATGATTAGTGGAAGGTATGTTTCTTTGTTTTGCATAGTTAAATACCTCCCTTACAATTTGGTTAAAAGAAAACTTTGATAAATACAATCCCAGAAACAAAATACATCACTTATAAACTGTTGTTGATGAGCAGGTGGGTATCTTCTGAACATCACACTCGCTTTGCATTATTGATTGGTCATACAATTAAAATTCTCCCCAGATTTCACAGTGTAATAATTATTTTGCTACCATTTCTTAGTATTATTGTACTCCTACACTTAGGCAAGAAATTTTTGTGAGATTTATGTGTAAATAGGTAAAGATTTCTGTATCTTTTCCCTAGTTCCCTGGTTCACAGTCACTGTGATATCAGTAGGCTGTAGGAGGGATAGGAAAAGTGCTTAGGAACTTAAGATCCTACTAAATTGCCAAATTAAAACATGTTCTATTGTCACTAACATTGCATGATGCTTCTCCTTTGTAATTGTTTGTTTTAATTTCTGTTAGTTGAGATATTTTGTAATATTTCAGTATCTTACTCTTTATTCTATAATGAAAAGCAATGAACATCATGTACAAATTCTGTCAAACTTACAAGAACATAATTAGTGAGGTATACATACTGACTTGAGACTGCTTTAATACCATAAGTAATTTTTGTATAATTAGATACATTTAATGTAGTGTTGGATAGATACAGTTTAAAAAGACCACTACAGCAAAATAGAATATTTTTACTTTAACTTTTTGGCATCATACAATGCTTTTTAGCTTTTACAATGTGTAATCCTGAAGACAGACAGACACTATTTGCTGTGCTGCATCCCTAATGACCAAATCTCCTGTCTTTTTGGCTTAGATTCTTCTCTTGTCCAATTAATGAGTTAATCCAGGGATATCCAAGAAATGCCAAGTCTGTATCACTTACAGCTTGTCTAGTACATATACTGTAACCCTGTTGATGCTTTTGACCTGCCTTAAGGCTGATACAACCCTGCACACTAGCAATCTGGATCTCTGTATAACTTTCCCTTCTACCCAGAAATGTTCAGCTCGCTTCTTGGATGTGAATAGTATACTCTCAAAGCAACGTATCATAATGTCTCAGGATTCGATTTAATCCTTTACGACATGGTTACCAAAATGAGGCTGGTTGGCTGTATTGTCATGGAGTGTCACATGGCCTGCAGTTTCCTCCATACTGCCTTCTTTTCCAGTGGAACATCAAGCAGACAGAGCCTGTGCTGTGCCCATGCAGTAGACTGGGCTCCATCACTAGGTGGAAGCGCTGTGGTGTGCATACTTAACCATCTGCAGTGTACCAATACTTTTATAGCTAGCACAACTGCAGTCAGTGGGTACTGCTGACGGAGGACATGAGATAAGTATTGCAATCAAATTTGCCCGTTTAAAATTTTTTTAGATGAAGTGAAATCACTGTGAATGACTGAGTTTTCTGTGCCTAATTGTGAAGGCACTATAACGTGGTAGGTTGGAAAGTTCTTTATAATCAATTTTGCTGACACCGTGTTCTGCATAGGAAAAAAATATGAAAAAGGACTATAAATGGGAATAAAAGAAAAATCATGTGAACAGTAAAACATTAATCAGAATCAAATATAGAACAGAGTAATGAATTACAAATGGCTTTCTCATGATTGTATAGCAGTTTTTTCCACAGGATCTCTACTCTATTCAAGAGAAAAATGAATGCTATTCACTGAATGGAAAGTATTCAGAGTTCCATTTTTATCCTTATCATTCAGTGTAGGGTTTGATGTATTATTTACCACATTTCATCTAAGCTCTGCATTCCCTTCAGTTACCAATTTCGTCATGATAATTTTTTTTTATGTGGCCTTACTGGATGCTTCACAGACATCAATTAATTTATCCTCAAAACATACTTGTGAAAGTGATATTGTAATTTCAGTTTTATAGGTAAGAATCTCATATAGAAAGCAATTTGGGGCAAAATCACCAAAAATCTATTTTTTGGAGATTCAATGGGAAGTGCTTACCATATGATTATTCAGGGGGCTTGTTACTTTTGTAGACTAATTACAAAACACAACCTCTCCTGATTTTAAGCGTAGCTAAGATTTTACGAGCTACTGAGATCTGTAGCTTCAGCTTCGTACACGGTTGGCATGGAATGTTTGTTACTTTTGGTGAAATATCTGTTGTAAACAGATAGCTCAGACTTGTGTTAGAATTCAGTTATCTAAAATAAAATTCAGTTGTATTAATTGTGAGTTTTTACTTGGAAAACTTCATTTGCAAAGCAATTTTTATTATATATTTTCTAATTTCTTCAGCAAATGAACCTGACATCCTATAGACATGGCATAAACTTACATAAAAACTGAATTAATTTCCAGGTTTAAATAAATACTATATCCTTAAAGCATTTTCACAAAAGGGTTGTGTTTCATATGCAAATGTACCTTCATTGATAATATTTTCTAAATTTCTGTACATATTATTATGAGCTCAATAGTCTTTTTTTTATTATTATTATTCTAAAATGTCTTTTTCAGTCTTCTTTATTTAAAAATAATCTCATCTCAAGCATTCCCTAGAAGACACTCTTTTCTGATAGATCGACTGTTTGCTTGACAAAATACTTTGCACATTAGAAAGATACTGTGGCAAATACTGAAAGTCTCTCCATATATTCTCTATTACATTTTGAAGTAACTTTCAACATTACTTCACAGTCTCCCCTAACTGTAAAAGTAGGCATGTTAATACAGTTTACATCTGAATTTGTCAGCTCTGACTGTATTAAAGCAAAGAGAACATACATGCATCTTTATGAAATGAAATAAAAACACTAACTGCATGATCTAAAGAAATGACCTTATGAAATTAATAAACACAAAAGTTAATAATAAGGCAGTGTTTTAAGAGAACAAGTAGTCACAGTGAGCATTATCTAAACTGGTAATTCATAAGCAGTAAAGTTAAGCTGTATAACCAGTTTTAGCTAGCTTTTATTTTTAAGATTTAAATAAAGTTAAACTTATCTGAAAATGGATTAGTTAATATTGAGGTAGAAGCAACATTTTGCCATAGTGAAAGGTCACAACAGATTATGTTGGAGGAGTTTTCTCAGAGTTTCATCCAGTCAAGTTTGATCATCTCCAAGGTCAGCTATTCCACAGACTCTCTAGGCAACCAGTTCCAGTGTTGTATCACCCTCAAGGTTTCAAAAAAAAAAAAAAAGAAAAGAAAAAAAGTAAAAAGAAAATAAAATTGTTTTTCTGCCAAGTTCCAACTTATTTCTCATGCTTCCATCTCTTTCAAAAAGAGTTTGGCTCTGACTTCTCTGCAGCCTTACAATTTATGTAGTTGTAGAGAGCAAGACAATCTTGCCTTTGTAGAATTTTACTATTTTTATAGGTTAACAACTAGCCTGCAGATCTTCATTAACTTTCAGGAATCTTGAAATCAGTTGCTGGACAAAATGTTCTTTCTCATTTGCTGGCGGCTCTTGCATTTTGACAATGCAAGGTGATGCAGAATTATTGAAAGGATAATGAATCAGCAGTATAGTGTATCAATTAGATTAATTAGATTTCAAAATTTGATGTATAGCCACAAAATACAGAGAGATGTGAAGCTATGACCTTACTCATGATAGGTAAGAATGCAAGCAATTGAGTCTCACTGACATTTAAGGCTCTGTGTACGTGTGTGTGCATGCATGTACAGATAGATAGATACTTACTTAGGTTGTCTCTCTGTATCTCATCAATCACCTCCTTGAAGCAGAATTCTTGCTGGACTAATTACAAAATTCCTGTTAGCTCACCAGGCTTATTTTTTCTACATAAATTGGCAATGTGAGCAGTGGCTCATGTATTTTCTAAGTTAGATTGTTTCCTTTTTATTGAACCAGTAACTCTCTGAAAAGAGGGCGTATAATTTTAAAGACTATTTGTGTTCACTGTTTGAGTTTTGATACTTCTTTTATGGCACTAGTAATAAAGAGAGTTATGTTAAATATTTCAAATACTGAATTGTATCAAGCTTTTATGCTAAGACTTGGGCTTGGTGCTGAATTCTATCCCAAAACTTCTTTCAAACTTAAAAATGCATACTGTTTATAACAGGCAATGATACATATGTGTTTAACTGCAAATGTTATTCACCCATGATTTATTCCAGACATCTGAAATGTTACCATTTTTAAGCTGAAACAGACATACATACTTATTGTATTATCACGCAAACAATATTTGTTTTTTACAAGTATTAATTACCTTTTTGCCTCTTTTCAGGGGATGTATATCAAATCAACATATGATGGGCTGCATGTAATCACAGGAACAACTGAAAATGTAAGCTTGCTTAGCCTAAAAGACTTCTGTTGTGCATGCATGTATCTTCTGTATATTTGTAGTGTATTTTTTTATATCAAAACTTGCTGTAAACCAAAGCACTTCTTATCATTAGTGGTTTATTTATTTATTTATTTTACACATACTATGTCACGATCTTAAAAATTTGAAAATATTGGAAATAGATCTAGAAAAACATCTGTGATGAAGTAACTAATTATAAAAGACAAAAATATTGAACTTCTGTGCATGGTGGTTCTGGTCAAAACATTGCAGTCAGTGATAAACATATTGCAGCACATAAATCAGCATGACTGTTATTCTTGTCATACTATTCATTTTATCTGTGAAGTAGTTTCTTGTTACTTAACTTGCAATTCATAATTAGAAATTAGAAAAAATAATTTTACTTCAACTTCTGCAATCTAATTTTTATGACAGACTTCACAATAGCACCCACCCCTTCTGTTTTCCACAGTCCATGTTTTAGTCACAAACATTTTATTCAGCCTTGGATCTGTTTAAAAGTGAATAAATTCACTTATATCCACAAATTAAAGTGGATAAATTAGAAACTGAAATTTCATAAAACTGATATTGAAACTAAGCAATGCTAACACCCAAGGAACATGAAATTTGCACTGTGCAGCTAGCCATGTGGGTCCAAAATATCACATACCATATAATATTGATATTTTGTTTTCCTTGTTTTGTATAAGTCAGTATGGTTTTTGTCACTCATTTTTTGAGATATTAGAGATCCAGGGAAAGCCTGATGATTTATTTATCACAATTTATGATAAATAAAATGTAAATTGAACTTAAACTTTTTTACTTATACTAACACCATTGATAGCATTTAGACATCATAAGTATTTGTAAATATAGACATAAAAATTATATATTGACTCCTGAAACTGATGAACAAACCCTCTTGATTATGTGGCAACCATAGAATGAATAACACATGCTATAATTAATATAGTTGTTTGTTGTAATTTTAATTAATTTACATAGAAATATGAAGCAGTTCGTAGGAAAAACATACTTATAACTGAAATTTGTGGGAGGAGATAAGAAATTAACCAGCCATTAAAACCCTAAAACTTTTTTTGTCTTGTCTGCGTAAGGTCTTTATGATAAGAGAGCACAAAGAAGTTGTTTGGTTGTTTTTTTGTTTTATTTTTCTTACAGGGTAATCACGTGTGCAGTTAAACCAGCTTCAAAGACATTTAATTTCTGGCATTTCAGCAAATTGATTTTTCATTCCTTTTGAAGGGATAATTGACCTCAGAACCAGTGTTTAATTTTAAAAGATAATAATTAGCTCAGCCTTGTCAAAGTCAGGAAAGGAGCTTAAAAAAAAAAAAAAAGAAAGGCCTCTGCTTTTTCAACTAATGTCATCTGAAGTTAAATGCATTATGAATAGTGATGTTTGCTTCCATTTTCTGCTTACCTTTCTTTCACAGGTTAAAGCAATCAAATTTGTGTTCCCATTGAATTCTAGACATGGAAATAGATTATCTTTCTGTTATAAGTTTAGTTCTGTATCAAGAGCAGTCTGCCAAAATTCTACATTTCCACTAAAAAGATAAATTGATGCTGGAGCCAGGCAGTTTCTGGCTGGCAAATAAATAGGCAAAATCCTTTTTATTTTGGTGTGGCTAAGATGTCAGGAGATGATAGCAGGCTGTAATGGCCAGGCAGTTTAGCTGAAGGGCTAGACTCCTGCTACACAAGATACAGAAATCCCTGTGAAAGAACAAGCAGAGATCAAGCAGGTGAGTGGTTAGCAACAGCTCAGAAGGGAAGCTGGAATGATAAGCAAGGAGAAGGCTGGAGGTGAAAGCTGTGCTTGGAATAGTACCTATAGCACTTTGAATCAGTGTCAAATATTGGCTGTTTGCCCTACTGGCTTGTTATTTATTACTTACTGAATAATTAATGATGTTTCCTACTACTTCCTAGCAATTGTGTAGACTGCAAAACCTACTGATTAGTCAGCAGGTGGTCACTACTGGAGAGTGTTTGAGCTCCTCGTAGATTGTCTCTGAATTGTGTTTATGTGACACAGTTTCAGCAATAGGGGTTGCAGGGCAGTCCTGTGAGCAGAGTCTGGAAGCTGCTCTGTGTCAGAGATGAGCCAATTCCACGGAGCTCCAAAAGTCACTGGCCATAGCTGAGCTGTGCCTCTTTACTTACATGTTTAAGAAAGCTTGGTTTTCCCATGGTGGTGGTTGGTGAGTGATCTCCCTGCTCTGCTCTAAACCCCTAAGCTTTTTAATTGTATTTTCTCCCCATTCTGCTGAGGAAGTGGAGTGGGCAAGCACCTGTGTGATGCTTGCCCACCTATCAAGGTTAAAACAATCTCTTTAGTATTTTGTTTAGAAGCAATTGTAGTCATTTTCTATCTAGTGGCTGCTTGGGTTTTTGTTGTGTTGTTTCCTATTGCCCTTATTACTTCTATTTATTTATAATATTAATCCACATAGCGGATAGAAATGATAGCTGAGATTTGTGGCTGGAGTAGACTGCCCAAAAGAACAGCTGTTGCCAGTTTTCTGGAAGTTTTGACTGGTAGGCAGTGAGGTCATGTTTTTAAGCCTCTTCAAGTCACCTTTAGTGCAGATAGATCTTTTCTTCTGTTGCATATATTGACATGCTGTTGACCATGTTCACGTGGCTTGCAGTACAGTGTAATTTAATCTATTTTAATACAATCAGAAGAAGCTATATTTAGTGTAAGGAAGGTTTTCAAGTCAGATCTGAAATTATGGGAGTGGAATAATATTATATACACCAAAGAGCTAGACTGTCAAGGACTTTATCCATTTGTAATTACCATTTTGTGTTCATATGGTTAATCTAGTAATGTCTTGAAAGTGATGGAGCTGTAGCATATTTGCCGACTATTTGCAGTGGACTTAAGCAGAAAACCTGTTCTATGAAAGTCTGTATTAGGCCTGCTTTTCTGTTATGTGTATGTTTTTCTCAGACCTGTCTCTGGATGTGCCATAGTTCAGTATTTGTTGGCTTAACAGATTTACTGCTATGTGATGTAAATTCACCCAGTGAATTCCCAGCAAGATTGTAACATGGCCTGATACTCTGCTCCCAGAGGTAAAGAAGCTAAAGTAGTTTGAACAGTCAAAAAGGCTGTTCATCACCTTGGGAAGTAGGATTTGAGATTACTTCATCACTTAATTGCCATCTATTATGAAAAAAATAATAATAATTAAAAAAAATTGTTCCTTACAGATACATTTTTTAATAAATATAATAAAGTACTGTTTTTTGATAATAATACTTCTCTGGACAGAGCTTTCTTGGCCTCTTTCCCCATTCATGGTTTTCATCCGTGCTCTTCCCTCATGCTCCTCACCCCAAATATAATGGTAATTGTTATCTCCTGTCCTTAGTCTCCTGCTGACCAGTGTAAGAAAATCCATGCTGGCGATGAGGTGATTCAAGTCAATCATCAAACTGTGGTAAGTACTCTGGAGGTTTTGCTCTGCAGGTTTTGTTTGTTCCCACTGCTAAAAGTATAATAACTCTTACTAGGAAACTTTGCTGAAGTAGATCAATCTTCTTGCTTTTTAAAATATCATAATCATTGCTTGCAGTTTAAAAAAGGCAGAAATTATCATTAACTAACCTGCTAGAATGACCTCCACACAGTGGAAACTAAATATTTCTTTTCCTCTTTTTCTTTTCTGTTTTCCAAAACATTTATTCAATACTTCATTAACTTTTTAATTCAAGTGTCACATCTTCATTCCCTCTAAAATAAAAACCAGCAACACTTTGTATTGATTTATAACCATTTATGATGATTCCTACTTTCCTTTTACCTTATTCCCAAGCTGAAAGAAAAGAAATGCCTCTCTAATATGTCAGTGTTCAGTTTATATCATGTGAAGCATTTAGCACTGCCCTTTGAAGAGGCATATTTTACATTTAAGATCTTAAATACTTCCTGGGTTTTTAGAGTTTTCAAGATTCTTAGAATATTTTTTCAAATACATGTATCCAATGAAATCCACAATGAAGTCCCCAATATCATGATTGTTTTCCATAGGGATTGTACTTAAATCATTGTAAGCTGGAAATTTCTTTAATGCTGTGCTACTCTGTCAAGTATAAATCCTGATTAAAAAAAAAAAAAAAAAAACTAAAAAAACATTCTGAAAATGATTAGATATACTCATTTTGTATTATCATTAGTGAAAATACTTTCCTGATTAGAGACGGTAGAGATTTCTTCAAATAGATTCTAATACTGAACCTGAATATTGGCGTAATCTCATCTAATTTTGACTAAACAAGGTCAGTGTAATTCCTGGATAAATTCATATTTGTTCATTCACCAGGATGATTTGATTTTTCACAACATCCAGTGACGTTCCCATAACGTGTAATGAGTTGTTCCAGTAGTTAATTATTCTCACTGCCGAGTGGGGTGTCATTTTATTTGTATTATACTTCCAGTCCTTTGATCTTGATACATTTATATCTATTTTACTGGAGATCTCATTTCTCATGTAGATATTTTCAGGATATAATCAGATTATCTCTTCACCTTTTTTTTTTTTTTTTGATAACCTAAATAATTTGAGCACTTTCAACTTTTCATCGTAATGCGTTACTCACATTGTTTAAAGTCCCAGCTGTAATACTTTGCATATTTAACACTGAGTTACTGCTCTACAGGAAAAACACATTCATAGACCAGGCAATAGACCTCTGCTAAAATAGTACAAATGAGACTATTTTACTGTAACCACTACTAACTTGCTGTTTGCCATTTTTTAAAGGCTACTTTATTTATTTTTTTTTCATTCACAGGCAGAAATAAAATTAGAAGAACACCTGGATTTATTCCCTATAAAATAAAAACTGTAATTTCAATTCATCTTTTTCCATCAAAGGCCCATTTGTAGGGAGGAATCACTAACCATTTTGAAACTGTGAGAGAAGTAAGCTTTTAAATAGGTTTAAGATGTAGAGTGGAAAATAGTTATACTGTCCCTACATTCCAGTGGAGTCAGCACAGATAACAGCACTTCTAATCCTGGAAGCATTTCTCTGGGGTTGTAAAGCTATAGCAGAGGATTAAGCATGCTGACAATGTCAGTCCATTGAATTGCTGTATGTGTGGAGTTAAGTATTTTGGGATTGGTGTGACTGGAATATTTTGGCTGTATGTCTTCAAAAAAATTCTTGTGACTTAAAATTTATATAATCATTTTATATAAAGTATATCTGAATTAAGTAAGAAATATCTGATTGCTAAAGGTAGGTATATTAATACACTTTTTTCCTGAAATCACTTATATTAACAAATATATTAACCACATTAACAAAATAATACAACTTGCTTTACTTTTCAAATGGTTTTTCAGTGTAGATGAAAATTTAATAAAATAAGTTCAAAAAGTATCAAAGTAAAACTGCTTACAAGTTATGTAATGCAACAGTTGAGTAAGAAATAAAAGATTTACCACGTGGAATTTGCTCTAACCAAAGAACACTGTTATACAATTATGAAGATCAAAGAAAAAATAATAGTACTTTAGGCAAGAAATTAATTAAATCAGTCGACTCGCCACTAACTGTTAAGATCACTTAATCATTATCCAATTTCCTTATTTGCTTTTCTGCTTATCCTTCTTGCTCATAAGATTTTAATAAAACAGCACAAGAAACTTGAAAAAATAAATTACATATTCTAAGATACATTAACTCTTTTTTGTCTTATCAGGAACAACAAGCACTAATTCTGCCACTATCTTGAGAATTTCTATTTTCCTTTTTTATAAAATTAAACATAAGTCATTTATATGTCGCTGTACTTTTATTTGTTTATAAAAATTATAATTACATCTTAAGTTGCTTGAAATACATCTATTCTGCTGCTTAGCTGAAATAAAAGGAAGGTAAATTTCATAATATAAAATGTAGAACAATTAGAAAGCCAGTCATAAAAAATATAGAAATATATAGCTATTCAGAATGGAAGCAAAGTTATAAATTAAGGTGCAATAATCTGCATCTAGGTTTGCTAAAGACAATGACACTTCAATTGGAAGTTCCTGAGCACAGGTATTTAATGAATTTTCTGCTTTAGGATAACTTTTTAAGTGGAAATGTAAAGAGGAAAACTTACTAGCAAATGCTATGGATGGATTTACAGAGAAAAGAATAATTAAAGATATGTAGAAAAGGGCATGTTAGATGAAATACATGAGGAATTCTTATTTATGAAGAATAAATGATTAATGTTCTACTTTTCATCACTTTTCATACAACAGAAATCTTACAGATTCAAACAAATATTGATCTATCTGACCATCTGTAAAATATTTGATATACTTTTGTACACTAAAGTATTAGATTAACTGGGGAAAACTGAGTTTTCAGAAAACTGACAACTTCTTTTGAAGATTAGAATTGAAGGTCATTTAATAGGACAGAGAGCAATAATAATGCTTTTAGTAACTCATGTTGAAAGCTAAATGTTACTCAGGAGCAGCTGGCGAGAGTCCAGAAGTCAGAATGTAGTAATTAATCCCAAATCGACTCATCGCCACGGAGGTGATGTGACTGAAAATGGCAAAGATGAACTCGGAATTAATCAGGAACACGTTTCCAGGGGAAATAGAGTTTTAATGCCATTGTCTTGACATTGGTAATATCTTGTCTGAAATACTGTTCAGGTCATTTGCAGTCATCAAAGGTGAATTTACATATGAACATTTAAAAATGTAATGGAGGCAAAGAAAATGTATTGTCTGTCTCAGATGAAGGGATTCTTTAATTTAAATTTTTTAAGGACTTTAATTTGGTTAACCCAGCCAGCTAGGTCTGAGAAGAAATAGAACTCCTCTGCCTTAACAGGTAGAGGCTATTCAGGCCACTAAAGGAAAGGAACAGTTTAGGCAAAAAATAATGTTGTAGAAGAGCAAACATTCATATAAACATCTATAAATAGATCTGTGGTAAAATTTGAAAGAGAGCTGCCGAGGATGGTGATTGAGGAACTGATAAAAATGATTAAGTTATAGTTGCCTCAACAACATAGAACAGGAAACAAATGGATGTAATACCCCAGAAGGGCTCTTTCTATTCCAACACCTTTGCTTTGTTGTGTTTGTTACAGGTGTTTGGTACATTATCTCTAAATAGCTATTATTAGGTAATGTTGATGCATTTTCATACTTGATAAGGTTATTCTCTGGAGTGAAGGATGCTACATAAATACATGATCAGCAGCCTAATGCCCTTTCATACTGCTCGTTGTCTGTCAATTAGCATACTTTGATAATAGCAAGAACAACATGAACACTGTTTGAATGTATAAAATGCCCAAATTCCTATTGCTATAGATTGCATTGCATTCTGAATCTCTTTCACACAAATCTGGATATTTTAAATGAGAAGGAACAAAATTAAGATCCCTGCAACAGTTTGGTAAATTTCAGCACTAGCTTATTAATGTTAAAATATTTATTGAATTAATATTGCAGATGTATGTGTACTGAATTGTAAATTTGAGTCTTAACGGAAGTTCACTGTGGATGGGAGTATGTCTGTAAATTTAACACCAGTTTGTACTATTTGTGTTTGATTTACAATTTCTACCCTCAGAATAAGTCATTTGGTTTGTAAAGAAATGTCCACATATCACTCTAAGAATTCTGCGTTTCATTGTTTCTGTTACTTAATGAAAATCACTGTAAGATAAGGGAAGAATGCTTATAATTCCACCATCAATTATTGTTAGTAACAGTTAAGAAATAAATGAGGAAAGCAAATCAACTACCAGTGTTAATGAAGAGCTTCCATTTAGTGACAAAAAGTAGTCTCATGATCTTGCAGCCTAATAATAATTTCTGATATCCATATTAATAAAACTGCTTCCCTTGATTAGTCCCCTAGCCCAGGCAGTATTGTAAGGCAAAGTGAATTATATATTTAAAATACCAAACAATGTCTTTTTCTTTAACAAAAAAAATTGAGTTTACACAGTCTTTTTATTTATTTACATATTTATTTTTAATGAAAATATGAAGAAAGGTCACGCTGTTAAGATTCAAGTAAATATCCAGATGGGTTTGCTTATGTATTCGAAGAGCCTTGAGGGGAAACATCTGTCCTGGTTCATGTAGGGGTTAGGTCCTACTGGAGTCAAAACAAAATTACTTGTTTGCAGGTGGTGTGCAATGTCATATGTTCTAAATATTTCATAAATGTTATTTTGTACAATTGGTTTTCTAATCAAAAGCATAGCGAGGCAGGTCTTAAATTCCCTTTTAGTTAAACTGCAGCTTGTCAAATGATACCATCAATACACACAACTCACAAATGGATGAAGGTTTAATCTACCTTCTTTCTGTGAGATGCACTATGTATTTCTGTATTCTTTGTAAGTTTTCAATGTTTTTAGAGCGTCAATCAATGTATAGGTTTTGATAAAGTAGTAAATGAACTGAGGAAACACACTTATGCTTTATCCTTAGAATTTTCAGGAAAAGCAGAGAAAAGAATATAGGTATATCATTATACTTGTGATAACGAAATTTAGTATCATAAAGACTGATATTTTTGAACTGTTGCTTTAAATTTACCGTGTATTCCAGTTTCCACTAAATATCTTTCTTGTACTTTCTTTGAGAAAATTAATACTTTAAAACAAACAGCAGTAGTGCAAAATTTTTTCACTAGAACCATTTTTTCACAATGCAGAAGTACAAATCAATAAAAAATATTAATTGAACGATCCTAAAAATAAATCACAAAGAAGAAATTAATTTTCTGCCTGCCTCTTACCGTTTTCATTTATGTTAAATTAATCTATGTATTGGACAGGACTGTGGGCATGTGGGACTTTCCACACTCTAATTGTAGGCCTGGTTTACCATGAGAGCGCATACATAGAAATAGGGCATTGTATTACATTATTTAAATATGTCTAGTAGAGAACTGCACTGTGACTAGAGCTTTACCATGTCATACAAATAGAGCATAATAATGTGCTGAATTTGTTGATTTACATGTAGTGGGTATTCTAATTGCTCCAATTTCATTTACTCAGGAAAATAAAGCATCATGCTAGTCCTTTTTTTTTTTTTTTCTTCATTAATCTTATGTTAACTTTAACATTCAGTACTAAGTGAAATGTCTTAATCCATATTGTAGAATCTGATTAACTGTATGGTTAAAGATTTAAAGGACCAAAATACCTTTTGCTGACCGCATCTCACCACAGTTAGAGGATGATAATTGCTATTAAGGAATGTTTAAGAATAAATGTCATACTCTGTCTGAAGGACTGGTTTTCAACAAAGAATTTTTAATCCTCTGTAATGACTTCTATTTTCTCAAAGATATTTTTAGTAATACAATTAATAATAACATGTCCAAATTCCTAAGAGCTTTTTATCATAGCCTAGTAGTAATGATTGCAGACTGTTCTTTAATAGATCTTTGTATTTAATGGTTTTGTCATTAAGATTATCATTGGAATAATTTATCATTAACTTAATTATTTATCATCCTTATCTAAAAGGAGCTCATGGAATTCTAATGGTTACAACATACTGAAAGTTACAGCCATCTGTAAAAATAAAACATATTTCACTTTCAATTCTATAACTAAGTAAAAAATACATATATTCAGTCATTATATAAGCAGGACACAAACTAGATAGTTTGTATGGAATGGAAGTTGATGTATTTGTTTTCAGTTGTGGCCTCTTTAAAATTACTTCCATTTTTTTCTTTCCTTTGACCAATGCATTTTTAGGATGTTTTCCAGCAACAATAAAAATAGAACTTTAAAAGGCTATTAATATCCTTTTTATAACTATGACACACATTGCAATTCTTTCCAAGACAAGTGCTCACTTTTGGGATCCTGGTTTCATCCCACTGTTGAGATCAGATAAAAATAGGGTTCTAGCCTATCTTCTCTTAGGCTCTTGTAAGAGGATTTGAATTGAGATCTCTTCATGGTTGCTTTTATGATTTTCTCTCCAACTTCATGTATAATCAGTTACTGCCTTCCTCTAGAATAAAGTAATTATAAATCACATTTGATGTAATATAATGATATTTGTAGACTGCACTGATTCTGAATACTTGATTTTTTTTAATACTTTTTTTATTTTTTTTATTTTTTATTATTTTTATTGATCATAAAAACAACGATGGTAAAACTGTTATAGTGAACTTACCAGTTAAGCTTAGTCAAAAATTATAACAAATATAATGGCACTGAACTGCTTGCATGTACTTGTAGAGTTAAGCTCAAAACTTGTGGGACATCTGATTATCTAGGCAGGGTTAGAAATGTATTGACAAAAAATACGAATGTTAGAAGAAATTTATGGAATTCATGGAGCCAAATTTGTTCTCATATTTAAACAAGAGAATATGTAACTATCTCTAAGTAGGGAGAAATTTTGGTTTAATTTTTAAAAATGTGAATTTTGATGAATTTCACTTTCTATTCTGAATTCATACTTTTGACCATTTTGGTGCATATTTTTTCTCATGTGCCTATACACCTGAGAAAAATGTGATCACCAGCATGTAAACGTAAGACTAGCTTTAGCATAAGTGTAGATATAGACTCTTTTATATTATTCAAAGCCTCTTCATTCAGGATGATAGGGTATTGTAAAACATTTTTTTAAAAATCCCATATGAATCAATTATTTGTTTTCATGTATAACCATTTCATGGTTATATAAGTTCATATTGAAATAATCAAGAAAATCAATAAATGTCTATAAATAATCTTCTTATGAGAGGCACATATAAAATATTTTCAGTTTTAGTGATGTTCTTTTTTATGTCTATGTTTCCCCTTTATAGTAACTTGAATTATTCGTCCCTGTCTGTGTGGATGAATCAAGTAAATGATAATTTATTTTCAGGTAGGGTCTAAAAGCTGTTATATATGTTGATAAAACAGTGTATCTACCTCCTCCACAGCGAGGGCTTCAAGTAAGAATCCAGATAAATTATTTCAGAACTACTAGTCTTCAACTTTGAGGACAAATGCAAAGCTTTGATGCAAAGTTTTCTGGAAAAATACTCTCTCCATTTTTCTATAATGGTCACATTGAAATACTGTATGTATTAAAAGTTTTTTTTTTCCTGATACTTGCTGGGAATAAAATAAAATTTGTTTTGTCTCACAGAGTGCTCTGAGAGAAGTGGAACAAGTAAATTTTGGAGGGAAAGAGGGATATACCTATGGTTTTTGTCAACTGACTCATCACCATGTCCCTCTGCTGTAAAATAACTAACTCCTCTTCTTCCTTCTCTGTCTCTCTGCCCTGTTTTCCATTAGTGATACCTCTGAAAGCACTAATATTGTGTCTGTTCTTGAGCAAAGTAAATATGGAATGGTTCCTTGTCAACAGAACATATAAAATATGAGTTTTGCTTGTCTTTCTCTCATAAGTGTATTAATTTGGTGTTTGAAAAAAATCATTTGCTGAAATCCTTTGTGGCAGTTATCATGTCTTAACTGTTTTTGAAATATCAGTTCTGCTTGCAGACTTGATTTAAAATATACAGTGACCTTACGCATTATTAAAAGGGAGACGGTGCTCACTTACACATTATTTTATTGAGCTTGAGGCTCAAAAAAAAAAAAAAAAAAAAGCAGAAATCACCCGACTTCACCATCAGCATCATTTCAATCCAACAAAGTAATTAGATATACTTTACATAAACTGCTCGTTTTTGCAAGGAGCAGGAAGTAATAGGCCATTTCAGCTCATAGAAGCCTTCCTTCACATCTAAAGCTAAATGGAAAGCTTTCAAAACTCAGTTACGGAATTTTTTTTTTCTTAGGTTGGCTGGCAGTTAAAGAACCTGGTAAATGCATTGCGGGAAGACCCAAATGGCGTGATTTTAACCTTGAAAAAACGTCCTCAGAATACCCTGGTTTCTGCTCCTGCCCTTTTGAAGAACGTCAGGTGGAAACCTCTTGCACTTCAGGTAAGAAGACTGTTGCAGCTCTGGTGTCATATAGTAAATCCTTCACACTATTAAAGGGAAATTATCTAGAACCATTCTGTCCAATAAAAGAAACAAAATCCTCTTTAAAAAGGATTCCCAATTCCTTTGAATTAGGGTGCTAGGTCTGTGTGGCAACACTATATATGTCAATAGCATTGTTTTCCTCATTTTCTTCCTGAAGTTGGGAGCAACAGGAGTTCATTTACAGATAATATTACTGAGAAGCTAGGCAGCCAAAGAGTAACTAATGTGCTTTGGCTAGCAATTGCCTCTCTGTGTTTTCATTTCTTCACAGTCTAAGAAAAGTAGTTGGTTTTAATAAAGAATGGCAGAGTCCTCTTGTATTTCAGGAAAAGTGTCCTTGCAGTCTACATTTCTCATCATTTTGTTTCTGGTAGCAATGCTAATGAATCCTCTGATATTTTTGCATATATATTTCTTGAAATTAATATAGATTGAAAAAAACCAACAACGTGTGGTAGAAACATGAGAAACATGATTAAAAAAAAAAAAAAAAAAAACAGAACTCAAATATGCACAGTTACCAACTTAAAACCTTGCATTCTTTAATGATGTATATTATTCTGTAGTAAGTTCATGTGTTTTTTAACACTGAAGGATCAGAGATGTTTGCTTGGTGCACATGATACATTGTGTTTCTAAATCATTTCTACTTGAATTAAACAAAGCAAATCCTTTAGATCTGTGCTTTCAAACTGTTTTCCCACCTGCCTTTTTATTGTATCTTTCATGCCTCTAAGAACCTACAGCTACTTCATGTAAGCAATTTGTGCAATCTTTGCAGCTCAGGAATGCTGACATTTTGTTTCATACCATCTTTTCTTTCCCTGTGACTACCTTTACTGGGGGAGAGGAAAGGGACAGGCTGACACTGAAAGGAGACTGAGATCCTCTTGTATTTTCCCACCATAAGGGTAGAGGTTTAACAACCTTCTCTTGCAACATGATTGTGTGTCAGTCTGTGAACTTCATATGAAGTCTTCAGAGACAATGAAAGGCGTTTGCAATACTGCTTCCATAGAGAACCTCTCTTTTTATGTTGCTATGTTAAAGAATTGTAATTCACAGGTATCACAAATTCAGGAAGCTACATCAGTGTGGAACTAATATCTGCTGTGTATACAACATGGTATTTTGCACAAAAGTTATCACCCTTTGTCGTGGTAGTCAGACATACTAAAGTACACCAAACTCTTCTGTAGGATTTTCAACTTTTTCACTTTCTGTGATGTGTCCCCTTCTGATGACTCAAAACTCAGGAGTCCCTGAAGAACAAAGGGTTTTTTAAGTATCATTTGACTAGGATGTTCTTCCATACAAGAGAATATAATGGTGAGGAATTTCAATACATATATGAACCATCTCAGGAAACAAAAGGAACATTCCCAGGGTTATTTCTTAATAGTAGACTTTGTAATAAGATGTTGAAAATCTTTAACAAGATCTTTAACATCTTGTAGTCTTCTTCAGTCTTCAGTCCATGAAAATGATCTCAAGTGTTAGGACCTAGAAACAATTCCAAATGCAGTTTTTGGTTTTGCCAGTTTCACACCTACATCTAGTGTCATTACTGTTGTTGTTAATGACTTGGAACTAGTATAATTAATTTCAAGATGATATTAAATCTTGTGTTTCCTGGACAGCTGACCTAACAGCTTGATGCTGCTGAAAAACGATGATCTCACTTCCCTCTCCCTGTTCATGGCTGCAGGATGTCCTTGCCTTTGTTTGACTTTGGCACTTTTTAGACTCTCCAGATCCTTTTAATTCATTAAATTGGTAGGAAGGCTTCTGGTTTTATTTGTTTGTTTTTCTCATGCTTTCTACTGCTTCTGGATTAAATTTGATCTCAGAGCGTCAAGAAGCTATCTGACAGGCTTTCAAAAATAAGTGGAATACAGTCAGCATAGACAAGGTTTTATACTTCAGTTAAAAGTAACCAGCTACATGAATGTAGGATATGGAATGTCTGGCCAAGTGACAATCTACAAAATAAAGTCTGAGTTAAAGTAGATCAAGACTGTAAATGATCCAGCAAATGTCAGACAGTCACAGGAAAAAAAAAAGAAGGTAACATAATACACCCTGAGATAGAGTACATGAAGAACATTCTTCCATCCTGACATAGTATTTGAGATGTTTAAACAGCAAATCTCAGATCAGTTTTTGGCCAAAAATTCTACTTTCACTAACAGTTGCCTGTTTTTCCTCTATATTTTCCTTTCTTCTTTACTGGCTGAAGAGGGAAGAAAGGAAATATAGATATGTTGTATAAAGCAAACCCAAATCTTTCATGAAAACAGAGCCAAACATTTCCTTCCTTCCCCTGCCCTCACCAACTGTCAGAAAGCAGGATCCTAAAGGAATTAGGCAGTTACCTAGAAAGTGACAATCCTTTTTCTGAAGTCACAGATGTTGCATAGTCTTTGATGGGATATATATATATATTTTTCTTTAGAAGAATTAGAAGAGTTGTCAAATAAATTTATTTGGAAGAAATCATATAGTCGCTCCTGTACATAGCTACATGCAGTGTGTGAGATTTAAAAATGTGATGAATTCTTTTGTAAAATGCTAAAATGTAAGATATAATTCTTATAAAAAAAGCACAACAGAATTTTAGAGATTGGATTTAAGAACTTGAAATTCAGAGGTTTGAAAAAATATATGTTATCTGATACTCAGGATTTTTTTAAAGTCAGCTTTTCTATGATTACTTAATGTATATATATAGGTTTTAATTTTTTTCACAGTACTTATGTTAAAAAAAATAACGAAGTTAATTTATGAATCATTAGTGATACAGAATCTGTGAATGGGCATAAATTGGTTTTTTTTTCATCTAACTTTACTATTCCTTAGTTGTATAGTTTCCCTTCATGCAGTAGACTGTCAAAATAGACAGAAGTTCTGCTTCAGTTATCTTTCAGTGAAACATCTGTCATACCATTTTTTCTTATTTTGTCTCTATTTGGCATTATGAGAAAATACAAAAACTATTTTCGTTTTTAAATTCTTTGGTTACCCTTCCACTTCTTTCGTCTGCAATGACAAATAGAGTTCTGTTTGTTTGTGTTTGTTTAGTTTTTTAAGAAAAAAGAGCGTGGCAGCCATTTCATTCAGTTCAAGGATTTATTGTATATAATTTTTTTATTCCTAGAATTTTTTTCTGATGAGAATAATCCTTCCTGTTACTTGTACTTGACCCAGAACATTAAACTTTTATTATTTTGCTTGAGCTATAGAATCTGCCAGTTGGTGATATGAGTAATAAAGCTTTTCAACACTGACAGTTTTCTAATATTTCTTACATATTAGAAAATGTATGCCATGCCCTGAGACTTAATAAATATCTTCCAAATAGTTCTAGTTAAGTAGCTGATTTCAGATCTTAAATAGATAAAAAATACATAATAAAATTTATACAGAAGATAAGTTCTGTAACATTATGAGAACAGAAGCTTATAGAGCAAAAGAAGGAAAACAACATCTGCTTAGACAAACGTGAAATCTAAAAAGCTGTATATTTCTACTATCAAAAATTTATAAATAAACAAGACGTGAACATACTGTGAATGTACTAGCTGTTTCACAGCATAGCCATACTGATTTGCCAGTATGTGAGAAATACTGGTGTAATAGTAGTAGTAGTAGTAGTAGTAGTAGTAAGACCTTTGTTTTGTACTTATGAGGAGTAGCATTCTTACTGTTGAACAGCCAACCTTTAGCAGCTTGTCCAATAAGCAATTAGTTATCCATATTGCTGGCATGAATGAATCTGTTCTGACAAAAATGACACGCAATAGGAATTCATAGGGTGATACACAGTTACAAAGCCCAATTTTCCCTTACCACAGGCAATCCATATAGAAGAGTGACGCCTGTGTGTTTTCTGTGAATTCACCCATCAGGGGAATTCTGGGGATTGAGTTTATTCCTTCAAGGGAGAAAGCAGAGACTCAGTGCCCCATCCTTAATCATCAAATCCCCTCAAAAGGTAAGGGATGTCCATGTTCGAGCCTCTTGTTGCTGTATTACTGGGCTTCACCAGCTTTCTGGATCTTGTCCTGCTTTTTTTTTTTTGCAGGATGCACTGCAGCCATGTATTTATTGTTTTGAACAGCACTTTTGAAATAGATACAGTATATAATTATTCCCCATATTTGCAAAACACACTCAGAGTCATAGCAATTTATTTGTTTCCAAAGCAGTTTGAATTTTTCCATTTGGCAAGCAATTGTTTATTTCTGATGAGGGTCGAATTTTCGTTTCATTTTCATTCTGGTATTTAAGCATTACTTAATTATCCTACTTATAATGAGCTGTTCTTATTAGAAATTATGAATAGCTAGCAGCAAGTTACCTGGTGTGTTACTTTCAGAAGTTCTTTATAATCAAAACATGTTTTTTTTCTTGGGATTTTTTTTGCTCACGAGTGACTTCTTATACATTATGTCAAGCAATATTTGCACACACACTTAGAGTCACCAAATAATTTTAAGAATTTTATCTAGACCTGAAATGGAAAATTTAAAAAGTTGAGGACACCTTTTTAATTGATAGCCCTGGCTGTGATGATATTTGCTATTATTAAAATGACCTAGTTTAGTCAGTTGGAAAAAATCCAGAGCACAGTACAATTCATTAGTGTCCTTGGAAACAAACACATGAGGAAAAAAACAGTTTTCTTTTCTTGCTGCCAAAGAAAGAGGAAACAGATAGTGTTCAGAATTGTTTTTTTTTTTAAAACAAAACTAAATAAAATGTTAAAGTGAACAAGAAAGTTCTAATTTTCTGGGAATTACTCGCAAGAGACTTGCATAGGTAGTTTCTTTTCTGAGTCTGAAATGCCTTTTATGCCTTTTCTACTTGTCAGTCTCTGATGGTGATAATATAAAATGAAGTATCCAACTGCAGGTAAGTTGGGGGATTACTAGAATGCTTGCTGTTTAGTGTCTTTACTACTGCTGCCATACCATAACTGTTGAAATAGTGATGGTAAACTAAATGCGGTAGCTGATAGTGCGGATTGCACTATCCATGATCTCCAGACAAGGAATTAGAAAGTTAGCCATGAATGATGCTTGTCTTTGGCAGTAATTTTTTAATTATTTGTATTTTTGAAATGAAAGATAAAGCCAGACATTTGATTAAATAAGAGAGAATTAACAATAAGCAGAGAAGACAATAATTTGGATCCCTGTGCAGACTGATTTTCTCATGGAAAGCTATTCTTTGCTGCTATTTAAAACAGCTTATGCTTATTGAATGACATAAATATACTTTCAATGTTTATCTCTGGAAGAAAGAAAGCTTTTTGTTCAGAAAAATATTACCATTAGTCTTCATAGTTTTCATGTAGAAAAGTAGTTGTAACTTTTTAATCACAATTTTGTATTTGAATTGAATTTTTCATATACATTATCTGATTCATAATACTACATAAAATAATTGCTATTCATTGAATGAAAATATCAGACTGCACGTTAACTGAGAAATGATTTTGTGAATGTTTTTGCATTGAATATTTATTTAGTAGTCCTTATATCCATTGACTCAGACATCCATAAAGCATTTGGATGAAAAAGTCACCATCTAAAAATTAAAAAAAAATAAAATAAAATCCTAAAAAATCCTCAAATTTTAGTAATACTTTAAATTCTATAATTTGTACATTTACTGCTTAGATTAATTGATAGTAGACACTATAGAACCTATTTTTTTATCTTTGTGATACATGCATCACAGCTATGATTTCAGTGAAAAATAATAAGCAATTGTTGACAATAATTCTGTAGAAACCAATATTATTATTCTGAGAGCTTTCATTCACTGGAAGTTTTCCAGATTTCAGCTAGTTTAATATAACGTATTTTAATAGTGTATGTAATTTTCTCCTCAACTGATTTTTTTGTTTTGGTTAAAAATCATAGTTTGATTTTGAATCTCAGATTTTTTCATGAGATACGTTTTAAATTGATTTCTTTAATGGTCTTTTATTAGACTATTTTATGAATAGCATTGAACTTCTTGCAGAAACTTTCCATGGACATCTTTTTATAAGAATCGTCATTAATCTAAAAATGACTAATTCAAAAAGAAGGTGTGATTTGTAAAATCATGCACGTTGACTTAATGTTGCTTGAATCATAGAAAACATTAATTTATTACTCATATATTTCTGATTTTTTTGTTTGTTTTTTGTTGTTTTTATTGGCAGCCTGTAATTCCAACCAGCCCAACAAGCAGTTCCACAACACCAACGAGTACAATGGGTATGTCCTCCAAAATGGAAAACTCAGCACTCCAGGATGTTTACATTCTTTCTCCAATGTCAGGACTTTATGGCCCCAGGTATTTAATTCCTAATGAATCTGAGGTCTTGAAAAATAAAGTTTTACACTTTAATTTCACTAGATTAATAAAAGTGGGAAAAAGTTCATCTAAATATTTAGTGAAATTATGAACTGGAAATACTTTAAGCAGCATATCACTTTTTTTGAGACACTTTTAACTTTGATTTAGGTAGATACAGGTTGAGCAAAAACTGGTTTTTGTAAGTAGAAAAGCATTTAAAGAAGTCTTTCAGCATTTAGTCTTATTTACCCTCATGTGATTGCAGCTTATTTGAAAGTATGCATTTCTTCAAGGGAAATCCTTGTCATCTCATATTGCAACAATTACTGATTCTCCCTTTCAAATGCAAGAAAACTCTTGGTTAGTTATGTTTATCTTGCAATTAAAATGGAATTTAATGATTTTATTAATTTACATTTGTTGAAATTAAATTGAATCACTTTTATGAAAGCTCTCACACACAGCAATTCAATTACCATTCACTTGTCATTTATAGAGCTTATGATAGACAGTTGGTATGCTTTAGGTTTCTCATGAAACAGTTTATTTCCTCATGATCTTCTGGTTTACTATTTTTTAGGGATGAAATTGGCGTAATGTCTTGTGATGATATCAGCAAGTTTGGAAAATCTGCAATGAAAGGCTCTGAATCTCCAAATTATTTTCTTGAGCATGAAAGTGGTAAATACTACACCTTAATTGAAGGTGAAGGCCACCCTGTAGGCTCTGACTATGAGAGAAGCAGAGCAACAGGGGTGCGGAGAAGAGAAAAAACACCCACTCATGGTAGGCTTTATTTCTTTAACATTTTTGAATTAACTGGATTTACAAATTGTAGTACAAGTGCTACAACAGCCCTAAATATCTGCCATTCTTTGTTAGATGGTGTGCTGTTGGCTTTGAAAGATGCAAAGTCAGAAAAAATTCAGCACTGTCTTAAAGAGACATAATTGTTTGAATAGTGTTCTATGATGAATTTTAATACTATAAATATATTTCAATATTTTCGAATAATGACTGTTTAAATATCTGATACTATTAAAACAACAATCAACTCTTGTTTACTAGAATATTTTTATGTATGTATACCCATATAATTACAGTTATACATATCTGTGCTTGCTTGTACGTAAATCTGTGTAAAAATTAGTGTTGAAAATGAGAATTTTCTTAGTTTATCTCTAAAAATGATCTTTTTGGTGTTTGATAAATTCTAAAATGATGCAACTGAAGCATCAGATTACATACTTGAGTGTTTCAATTTTCAGGGAAGTTATTATTGTTCAGAATTCTACTTATTACAGAATTTTAAGATAAAATATTTATAATCAAAACTGTGATTATATGTGAATTTGGTGATGTAAATGACATGCTTTTTGTGTCTCAGAGAAAGCAGTGTTGACTGGTTTTGGACATAACGTTCCCTAAGGCTAGGTTCCATCTTCTGTCAAAATTTATAATGCCATCAATAAGTACTACACCCACTAACTCTGATGCTTTTTTTTTTTCTGTTCTCTCATTTTGTTTAAAAAAAAAAAAAAAAAATCCAAACATATTTTCTTCATCTTTGCTAAAACTTTAACAGATTTTTGTTCTACATAGAATATTCTTAGTAACTTCTATAGCCATTTACTCACTGCTTGAGAGGGCTGTAACCAGGATAACACTGAAGGGTAGTGCTCCATCTTAAATACAGTAACATTGCATTTATCTCCCTGATAAGTGACATCATTTTATAATAAAATTAGAATGAAAGAGAAATATTAACTGTGATTAAAATTGGAAGCAGATGGATGGATTTGGCATGCTTTCATAGGATTGTACTACATAATGACTTCAAGTTTAAAATACTGGGCTCAGTGCCTAATCATAATAGTACACAAATGTCCTAGTTTTACAATGGAGAGTTCTGTCTGATTTTCTCTAACTTTGTGACAGTGTTCTAAAATCTAGGGAGAATTTGTTTTGCAAATCTAAGGATTTTTTTTCTTTTAAAACAATTGTTAAACCAAAGTATCTTTTAATGCTAGGTTAAATTAATCTGATAATTAACAACAATTCCAAATGTTGTTCTATTATAGTGTACATTTTTACTTTTTGACTTGAAGACGTATATTTGATTCATCAAAGTGACTGTATGTCTCTGTGGAAAGACAAGATTTCTGGTGGGTCTATGAAACATGCATCTGATGATGGAACCAAATAGCCATGGGCTAAACAGGAAAAATGAGACTTTTGAAGTCTTTCATGGTTGAACAGATGCTTTCATTATTGCTAGAACTCACACAAACTGCAGCTGAAAAATTCCTGCCAGGGATTTGCCAGAAATAAAGTGATTATTAGAAATCAGTTTCTGTTGCAGCTGGTGGTAGATGGAAGAATACTTTGGAAAATGAGACCCTCAATACTGATAATATATGCAAAATCTATGGAGGCAAACAAGCTCCTTTTTTCATAACATTTGTGAAAATTGATTTTGTATTTATCGTGGTTGCAGTGCATTTTGTTTTTTTTCAAGGCTTATTGTCTAATATTAGTCTTGGCTCTAACTTACTTAGAGTTCCTGCATTTAGAGATCCTGTAGCCATGCATATCAAATCTCTTCTGTTTGTGTTAGAGAACAAGGTATCATAATCAGTATTGTTTTCTTCAATTTCTATTGTTATACACAGTAATTTTCCTTCTGTCTTATTAGTTTTCAAGTTGCAATTGTAAAACAAGTTCATAGGTTACATTTGTTTGGGAAAGAATTTACAATTAAAATAGTATGCAGATTCACTTTTTTCTTCACTCGTGTGTTTCCCATCCTACGTTCCTACCTTTAATGTTGATCATGCTGTGGCATCTGGGATTTATGTGTTACAAATCTCATCAGGGTTTCAGACTTTTCTTCTCTTGAACAGAAAAGCTGCCATGTTTTTCTGTTAATTTCAATTTGTTATGTGCATTCATATTCATATTCTTGTTGACTTTTTTGTTTTTTTAAGAAACCTATTGAACTTGTCAACTGACACACTTGATTTTGTGGGTCATGCAAAAATTAACCAATAATGTAAAGGTGTCTGTCTTTTGTTTTTTGATACTAATACACTCAGACAAGGCCAAAGTGCTTATGCTTTATAGTCAGTTTTTGTAGTATTCCAAGTTTAATGGTCTGCTATTGATGTTCTGTTGATACCATAGCGGGGAACGAATAACATACATGAATATCTCACAACCATATAGCCATAAAATCTATTTAATTAAATCCTAATGTCTGAATCTTTGTTGTTGTTATTAGCAAACTACACTCCATCTTTTGTTTTTAAGGCATTTGAAATTAATCTTCCTTGAAACTATGAGGTCTCAGTACTTACCAAGTTTTTTTCCAGGTCAGATAGGTTTCACTATTTAATTGATAGATATATCATGTTGTAGCTGTAGTAATGATCTTTCTAGCTTTACTAAGGCTTTCTACAACTCCCTGAAGGAAGGTTGTGATGAGGTGGGAGTTGGCCTCTTCTCCCGTGTCACCAGTGATAGGACCAGAGGGAATGGCCTCAAGTTGTACCAGGGAAGATTCAGGTGCTTCTTGGAGAGAGAGTGGTCAGAACTGCCCAGAGAAGGTGGTGGGGTCACCATCCCTGGAGGTGTTCAAGAAATGTTTAAATGTTGTACTGAGGGACATGATTTAGTGGGAAATATTGGTGATAGGTGGACAATTGGACTTGGATGATCTTAGAGGTCTTTTCTACCTTGGTGATTCTGTGATTCTAAATCAGACACTTTAAAAATTATTTTTTTTTTATTCCAAAAGATCTATTTAATGAGTGAATAAGATTTTCTGGAAAAGAACTTAGAACTACTTTAAGTTTACAAGTAATTCCACCAGAATCATTGGTACCTTCCTTCTTATAATGAAGAGGATAATCTTACATCTGTGGTGTTTAACTGATTCTGAATGCTATAGCTTAAATAATGTATAGGTGCTGATAAAAAGGTTTGCTCTGAAGGCTTGTGTCATGCCTCTAATGTGCAGGCATTACTCATTCTACAGCCTGCTATTTCTGATCTTCAAAAATTATATTGGCTCACCTTGATTTACTTCCAGGTGATTTAAGACCTGTTTCAATGCCTACTGACTACAGTTGGATAGGGGAATCAAAGGAACAAAACATATACAAGAGAGGAAGCCGTGGTGAGTTTTTCTTTTTTTTTTTTCTCTGCTGTTCCCAGAGGGTTTTTTTTTAAAAATCTTTTTTTTTTCCACTTAAGAACCACAAAGATATCATCACAGAACTAAATGTAGCTTTCTTGATTGTCACAGAAAATAGACTGTACTGGTACAGTACAGTACAGTTTGTATCAGTACAGGGCTTTTACTTTTAGTATAATGAACAGATAAACACCAAGGGGAAAAAAAACAAACTATGAGATTTAGATATTTGCTAATATCAATCAGTTCTCAATCCTTACAGTTCAGTAAAATAAGTGATAAGAATTAACATTTGAGAATAGGAATTTTCTGTTGATTTAATTTCTGTTATTTTGATTATTCTTTTCATTCTGAAATATAACCAAAAAAAAGTACATTTCCTATTAAAATAATTTTAAGAAATACAACTGCAAGTGTATTGTATCAAACTTTTTAACAAAGAATGTAATTATTCCTGTGTTTCAGTCCTCAACTTTAGATCCATAAAATTGATTTCAGAACGAACTTGAAATATTAACATTTTCTAATTAATGATACCTGTTTATCTTATAAGTTACCTGTCATCTCTTAGAATGGTTCAAATAATAATTTGATTTAAAAAGCAGATTTGATTTGAAACCTTGGAAGTATACTGTGAAATCCACACTTGAAACTTCAAAAACTAAGTTAGGTACATGTTTTGCTGATTAGAAGTTATTTTTAATGAAGATTCTTCTGTAAAGTTTGCTTGGATTAAAGAAGTTGCCTGTAAAGATGTCACTGTTGTGGCTGACAGCTGAACATAAATGATGAGCAGTCCATTGAAAAAGTCCGGTTAAATTTGAACCATACTAAAGAAAACACAGTATTATCTGTAGAAGCAAAAATCCAGGAGATAAAAAGCATAGGCACTTTCAGTAATGACTAAAAAAATATGAGATTTATTTTACAAAACATTTTTTTAAGAAAATCTTAAATTATTAGAAGTGCAACCTATCTAATGTTACCATGAGATTGGCGCTATGTTCTGCTTTGTGGCCAAATGACTGGGGTGTATTTGAGAACGCAGTAGTGAATGCAGTGAGACATTGCAAAAGGTTTGTGGAGATTGTCCAGTACAGGAGATATTTAAATGTAGTCTGGATAATCATAGATGCCATTCAGTTCAAATTGTTGTAACCAAAATCTGTTTTTAAATCAAAACTTTCATTCAAAATGGCATGTAAAATTCTGTAAAAATAACATTGACTCAGAAATTAGGTGCACAAAGATTAGAGGTGTGTATCCATATAAACTCATTACAAAGACATGTGACATGTGGATGGCGTACCCTGGAAAGAACATGTGTTTGAAAGACTGCAAAGCATGAGAAGTACTGTCATTTGTTAACACACTCAAGGATGGCATATATGACTCTACTGTAGCTGAACTCCACTTGTTATTCGTGTAATTATCCCTAACTTAATGGAACCTTACCCACACTGTAAATCATTTTTTGTTTTTATAAAGTGCTACTGTTGTAGATTTTAATGATAATGTCAAATTAGGTGTTAATTCTGTCTACTAGGGACTAGTCCATAGTCCATATGTCCTTTCTAAATATAGGTGATTTTTCTTAAACCAAATTTATGTGTAAATGGCTCCCTGTAAATAGTTCTGTAGTCCTGAACACAAAGTGTTGTTCAGCAACTCTTTCACTGAGAGAGTGATTTACAGTCTGAGGAGGAATGCACAGACTGGTCTGTTTTGAAGATTTAGGGTTGAATTTCTAGATTCCAGGGTGTATCAACAAATGAAAAATAGCTTTTTAAAAGGTTCCTTTCCACGTCTCATCTCTAACTGATGTGTTTTTTTAATGGGAAAAAAAATGTGAAGTGTTAACATTTACATTTTGTAGTATTAACATTTGGATTTCATTTTATTGTATTGTTTTGTAGCTTAGTGGAACACTATACATTTAATAAAGATTGTTCTCCATGGCAGCCAGTATTTTGTGTAAATGTAAAAACTGGAAAATCAGCTGTTTTGTATTTCCCTTGAGCTTAAACACACCTCAAATAACATTCAGTTGAAACAAGCTGCGTGTTTGAAATATCATAGTGCAATATTTATTGTAAACTTATGTAAGATTAAAATAAACTCGTCGTAAAGGAAAGCAAGGTTTTGTATTTAGCTGGTAACTTGCCTTACCATTTATGATTGTAGGAATGAAATCCAGATTCTCTGTTTTGTCTCACTTGTATTTCTTTTCACTTTTTTCCATCCAACCACTGACTCTGAGAATTCACTTCTGCGGTACCTGAGTGATGATAAGATACTGGTTATCCAAGAAGAGCCTTTGACACAGAAAGACAGCAAAAGGGACACAGGTCGTAGGTCAAGAAAAAAAGGCAAAAGTGCAAGCAGTCCAAACTACCCTATTAGTCCATCTATGTTGACATCTACTGTTAACGTTAGGCTTGAACCAGGACAGCAAGATATCTTGAATTTCGCACTAGCAGAAAATAATACAGTTCCACTTTACCACGTAAGTACATAACAAAAAATACTATTTTTATGTATTAATTTTATTGATTACATGGAAAATCATTAAAACATTTTCCTTTAAGGATTGATAAGATATAAAGGCATATTTTTTTACTTTATACTTTAATATTTTGTTTTATGGTCCAAGAATTTTCATAATGCTCATATCAAGATAGCTTTCACAGAAGAATAGTCTAGACAGATGGAAAAATGCATGGCAAGCACCACTGGATATGAAATGAGATGCTTTAAGTAAGATAATGCATTTGAACTTTTTTTTTTTTTTTTTTTTAATGATTCATAAGGATCTCAAGTTCTGATAACAATTATAGATTACTTAAAGTTACCATATATCTAATCAAGTCAATATGTCTTCTAAAAACAGACTTAAGCTTAATGGAGTTATTGTTTATTTATATTGTGATACCACAGTCCAGAAATATGAATTTGTTCATTATAATAATATAGAAAATATTTTGGAGTGAAAACTGTGGATTGTCACTAGCATGGAAGCAATAAATTTGGAATAATTGTGTCTCCCAGATGAACAGCCCGTTCTCATAACTACAATGAAAAAGTTCCCGCAACTGTCAGCTAGTACAGAATTTTGGTGTTGCTTTAGATGATTAGAAATAAGGAATAACCTTTCAGAGATCAGTTTTCATTGTTCATACTTTGTATCTTGCCTTTTTCATGTCCCTACCATTTGGGAGCAGACCACTCCATTCTTTTGACACAGAGTGGTATCTTCAAAGGTTTGGGGGCTCAAATCTTAATGTATTCAAGGCAGTTTTATTAAAAGAGCAGATTTCCTCCCCACAATCAATGTGGAAGTTTCTTAGGGTGTATTTATTTTCTAATCCTGGTGAACTTCCTGTTAGAAGAAGTAGAAGAAATCACAGGTCTTGTAGCAAGTTTCTTGGTACTCTTTTGCTGGTGTTTCAATCCCTAAGCAAAATCTTGGGAAATTATTTGATTTTCATCAAGCCTGAGAGGTGAGTAAGCTTTGCCTAAGGGGATACATTCAAACATAGCTTGCCATTCATCTCTGTTTCCTGCAAGCTGCCAGCATTTGATATTCTGATCAGATATTTTCCTTTTGTTGTGAGGAAAATGTAAGTCTTCTTTTCCTATGCCAATGAAATTTAGCATTTTTGAAAAACATGGGGTTTCCCCAACTTTGGAGAAAGTCAAGTAGTCTATAAACCAAAACATATGACTGTCTGTTGACAGTTGTTTCTTACATCTGTAAACTCTTATACAGATTACTGGGATCACAGAGTCAAAGAAAAAGGATTTCAAATCCAGAGAAAAAACTGTCATCATCTAGTTTGTTAGGAGTGAGAAAATCATTGTGCAAATCTGCAAAAATAAAACCAAACAGCATGTTGCTGTCTGCAAATGTTTCTCTGTAGAATTTCACTGTTCCAACTGGTTTTCATGAGTTTTTGGATCATCTTTTGACTCACCTGACTTCTGAAGAAAGGGAAATGGGTTATGTGGGTTAAATTGCTGGCTGAGTTTTAAATAATGATAGTTGCTGGTTAAGTTCCCAGAGGCAGGCCTGTTGTCATACCGTTTATCATCACCAAAGCAACCTGTTTAATTCCTGTTTAAGCAATTCCTGTTTAAGGCTAACATACCACATATTCACACTTTTTCCAATACAGTCATATAAATGTTGTGTTCTGAACAGCAATTTGCCAATCACTTTGCCAAAAAAAAAAAAAAAAAAAAGCACATCATAGAAAGATTTCATTTTAAAAACTGCAGTAGTATAATAGTTATAAATTATTATTGACCATTTCTTTCTGTTTGTAGATCAAGGTGACTAGGAGCAGAATTCTTATGTTGTGGCTTTTATTTTGTATTAAAAGAACAATATCATTTTTAAACAGAGATAATAAATTATTAATATGATATTGCAGGATAACAGAAGTATGAAAACATAATCTAAGAACATAACATGCCAGCTATAAAGCATTTGAATGTAATGGTGGTAACTGAAGACAAAAGAAGGCTTTATCATGGGAGCACATAACATTACATTCAGTGGTTGGCCCAAAAGACGTTCAGTACCAGTCACATAAAGTCTATTACAGAGTGTGGTAACTGCAGAGGAAGACACCTGGAAGAGTCATTCACAGACACAGTGGTGTACGTTCTTCTATCAGTCTAAGTGTTTCAAACAATATTTGAATCACAACTTTGCGGTTCTTCAGGAGAGAGTCAAAGGAATCAAAATATCTCAAGCACTCAGTCAACTGCCTTATAAATATACAAGAGGAACTGAGTCGACAAATATCCAAGAGTTGCTGACATGGGTTTTCTGGGTTCTTGCCAGTATAGGATCATTTTTATGAACAAAGTCTTTCCACTTTGAATACTGAAAGAATTCTGAAAAGTGAAGCAAAAAATTGTGAGAAATAGCTACTCAGAATGAAAATTTTAAGTATCAAAGAACATTTAATGGCATTTTGACAGGAAAAGAAAAATATATTTCTATCTAGAATCAGAAATTAGGGTTTAAGTAGGTAATCTCATTTCATTTATATATATATATATATATCAGTATTTCAGTATATTTATTTATTTAGGTGATGAGATTTTATTCAATTGAGAATTTACAATTAGTAAGATTTAAAAGGAAATATTTCAGAGCTTACCTAACCAAATTACTGTTAAACGGCTGTTGCTAATTCCTTTTTTTGTTGTTGTTGTTGTTTTTAAATAATCATTTCTCTGATATCATCTTAACTTTGCAATTAATTTCTTGTCTTTTGCTTCTTCTTGGATGTTGGGAGGCAGAAGACAGAAACAGTTTGTTTCTTATGAAAGTCAAAACTACAGAACTGTTGTAATCAAATTTCCATGAATTCCTCTATGTTTAATATGTATCCAGAATTTAAGGATGGAGATCAAAATTTTAATCCAGGCAAATGCTTTGGAAAATGGTGATAATAATGAAAGATAAGAGCTCCATCACCTCCCCTCCAGGGAGATGGGGCATCCAAAGATAGACAGACAGTATCATTTAGCCAGTGCTTTATTTTTTAAGCGTACTTACACAAATATACATACATTTAAATGGAAAAAAAAAAAAAAGAGTTCAGATTACCAGACATAGATGTAAGAAGTTTTACAAAATCAGTAATTGCATATTTGCAGAATTAGTTTAATGCTTTGGAAGTAATGTGGATTTGGAACCTAAAATTAAACAATCAGACTGATTTCATAAGTTGAAGTGAGGATGCAGAATTACTATGTAAAATGGATATATAGGTAGTGTAATAATGGCTGTTTGCCCAGCATATAAGATGATCTACAAAGTCATGATGCAGTAGAATATTACTGATAGGAAACACTGCCCATTTCACTATATATTTATTACTAACTTAGTTGGTAGGCAGTTCTGTGATGCACATCACAGAAACTGAGGTAAAGTGAGTTACAATTAACAATGCTGTAATAATTAATGATATATTACTACTTAGAATGTAACTTCATGGTTTTACTAATCCTCTTCTGTAGGGACGTTTTTACCAGTTTAAATAGAAGTAATAAGGCGTATGTAAATATCACAAAATTTTGTATACATAATAGCATTGCTGAAATCTACCATTGTAATACACTCTGCACTTATAAGAATAGAAATGAAATTTAAATATATATATTTTTTATATTAACAGGTTTCATTCTTAACAAAATTAATTTAGCAAGTAGGACTCCGGCACAGTAAAAAACAAAACAAAACTACAAGATGTATTTTTCATTCCATATTTTTTCATCATAAACCAAAAGGCAAAAAGTCTTGAATAAAGAACATTTTCTGTCTTGAAAGTTTGCTGCTCAGGATTTTTAAAATCTCTAATAAACTGTACTGCTGGTCAGTTCCATTTCACACTATGGGAACCAGCTCTTGTCTAAAAGAAATAATGGAGTTGTTAGTCCAGACTCAATCTGAAAATTGACATATTGTCCATCTTCATGGTTTTAATGCTTCAGATTTGCAGTTCCTTCTGAAATTCAATCCTTTGGATACTAAATTCTAATGTAAGGTAATGAGTGCTCATCTGTATTATTTGATGATGGACGTTCTTTGTATTGTCCACAAAGTAGCTGAGAATCTTGTTTTGTAGTATATATTAAGAAATTGGATTGCAAACTGTTAATTTATTTATTTATTTTTTTTTTTTGTGAATTAAAATTTAGTGTAAAAGACACTAAATTTTTAAACCAATTTTAAGATATATTATTTCAATACAGCTTTCTCTACCTAGTAAACCAAATAATGGCTGCAATGGGGTAGTCATTGGGAATATTACAGCAGTAGAACCATTTTAAAGATAATTTGAAGGATTATAGTAGCGTAGGATTAGTCATTATTTCACAGTGATTGCTAAACTTGCTATTTAATTTCTTGCTGCTGATGACACAAAGTTGGCAGTTTCTGCCTTTTTTCAGCATTGAATAATGTAAATGCTATCTGACTGTTCTTGGAACTGCAGAAGGCAGCTCCACAAAAGACATAAAATTTAGTGGTACATGCTGAGAACTAAAATGTATGCAGAAACAATGCAGATTCTCTTTTTTTTCTGTAATGTATGCATGCTGGGATGTGCCAGATGTTCCAGATGTTATTCTGGATGGTAAGTAGTCTGAGTACTATGATAAATACAATAATCAAAGTAATCTGGGAGAATCATGTGTATTCAGCTCCTTATGACTGAAGAAGGAGTCTTTTATTGCCAATTTTGTAGGAAAAGTACTTCTATTTTATTTCTTCCTTTCTGTTGTTGGAAGAAAAAAAAAAAAAAAAGCCTGTTAACTGTCAAAAAAGTTTTTTCACAGGTAACTTCTACCTTTTCTTTTTAAGCATCTGAAAGGTGGAAAACACTCTTTCCCTACTTTCTTGGTATGCTGAGAAATCACTGTGTGGAGGATTGCAAGGAGGAATCTATAAGATCGGAGAAGTTAGTATGCGTTTTTTTCAGGTTCTGT